ATGCGTGGTGCGAACGTGGAGTGTTTCCACGGTCTATCGAGTAGGCAACTAGTAGAAGATGCGTGCAAACTAGCCTGCGTCCCCGATGCAAACAGCTAAGCAGAACAAGAGTTGCGGGAAGAAACCGCAGCCCACCACATTCTCTCAAATTCATTTGATTCGATCCCTTTCTTGACTTGCAAAGAATATTCCTACAATAAAGTTCTTACGAGCCTCCAAAATCAACTTCGGGGTCGTGTGAAATCGTAATAATCTTTAAAAAGCAGAAATGTCAAAACCATAGATAAACGAGATGCTCTGAAGTCTGCCACATCCAAACTGACTTCTTATCATCTGTAACTCTCCAGCTTGAAATGCACTTGCGTTCCAAAGAAAATGCTGCTCATCTGGCCATAGTTTGCCCGCTTCAGCCGCAGTTTGCGTGGGGACTGCACAAAGGCACTGTTGTTGTTTCTACCGCACCTCGGCCATTTGCCAGCATGCTGCTACCGTCTCCTGCTGCGGAATGCAGCACACATGGCAGGGCACACGCATGGGAAAGCGGCGCCGGACTTGCATGGAGATCTTCGGCGCGTGCTTTTGGCCTACCTTCTGCCTGTTGATGCAGGTGCCTTGTCGTGGCGGGCTTTGGCTTTTCATTCGTGGACAAGGATCAAGGTAGGCGAGGAATGCCAAGCAAAGTCACATGTTCCTGCCTCCTTCAACCTGCTTTTGCCGATTCTTTTATTGTGCTGCACCGTGGGTCAAATGGGGCTTTCCTGGCCATTTTGAACAGATTGAGCTTGGGCAGACAGAGCCCAGAGTGCGCAACGTTTGCAGCCCCCATTGTTGCCACACGAGGCAGCCATGCCCCTCATCCAACGCAGCTGGAGGGTCAACCCTTTTTGCCAACAGCGGGTTATGAGCTGGAATGCAATTGCCACCATTTGCGCAGAGGCAGCGTCGGTCCCAGATGCGCGCTGATCGAGATCATCCCTGCAAGCTGAAGGATGTGAAAAGCAATGTCGGAATCCATTGAACAGTTCTCAAACAAGAACAGACCAGGCTGTCCTGCAGTGGGAGACCCGAGAACCCTTCTAAGCTGTTCTAGTGCCAATTCAAGGCAGAGAGCCATTGCGCACTCCTTGCCGAATCATAGCTTGGAGGCTAGATCTAGCTTGCGTGAGGTGTTCCAGGAACCTTGCCAGCACATCTGCTTTTCACATGGTAGCGGAGCACTGAGAGTGACTCCAGCGCCTGTGTTGAGTACCCACGCCATGGCGGCTCCTGAGCCGGAAGTGTGCATGGAAGCCCACAGGGTTCTCCGGTGCACGTGCCGTTGACTGCTGAAGAAGTCTCTGACAACACTTCCGAGGAGGAAGCTTTGCTGTTTGGAACCGGTGAGACTCCGGTAGGACAGCAACCGAACCCCTTTGCTGCCTTTGGAACTTAAGGAGTTCCGTTCGACACCAGCGACTAGTTCACAGCCAGCCACTGCTCCTGGTGGTGGTTCTGTTGGAGAGAGTCTGGTGGTTGAGATGCTGCGAGTGATGCAGCAACAGCAGAGACAGCAGGAAGCCATGATGGACCAGTACCGGAAGCAGTTGGAGCAGAACCATCAGCTTGTGGCCACCATGGGGATAAAAAGAGGGTTTAGGGTGTGTAGAAATAGTGGCTGTTCGTGTGTTTACTCACAGATGTTTTACACGACGCCTTTTCATGCACTTTGGGGTATCTTTGCTTCCTATTTCTTAGCACCAGCTGCTCGAACATGTCATGCGCTTGGTGTCCAGTTCAAAGCAATGTTCAGGCGTTTGCCGAGCAAAACTGTCAGCAATGTTCAGGCGTTTGCCGAGCAAAACTGTCAGAAAACATCAACTGGGCCCCGTTCTCAGTTTGGTTTTTGGGAATTCAGCCACAGCTCATCGTCTACCTGAGACTCAATGTTTACCGCTTTTTTGCAGGCACATGTCTTTACTAGGACACGTTCTTCTAGGCATCCTTTGGGAGCCTTGCGCCGAATGGAAGAGCTGCCTCCCGAGCTGGTTTTGCCTGATAGTTCCTCGGCAAGCGCCAGCAGCCGCTTTTCTCCGGTCAGTTCTTACGGCTTGGCGTGAGGTTCCTCATTCTTGATTCTTCTGGGCAAATCAGTTTTGCTTCTTTCTTTTCTTATGGAACAGTCTGCAAATGTGGGTTCCACTTCTGATGGGTAGCTTGGTGGTTCTACTCCTCAGTCTGGAGCAAGGGGCTTTCGTAAGCGTTGGCAGTCCACGGTCAGTTCGTTGGCAAATCTTCCTGCAGCGGCTTGCATTTCAGCAGTTTCAGTACATGGATCGACTGGTTTTTCAGATGCTGTTCTGGAAGAATCTTCTGAAGCGGATTTACATGCAGCTGCTTTGGTTCCTCCCCAATTTCATAATATTCCGCCGACTATGTCACCGCCAACGACAGTGCTTTTGCCTTTGCAGGCGACTCCTAAAGCTCCCTCTTGCGGCACGGCCCCTTCTCTGGGTCAGAGGCTGGGGGTTACTGCGAAAGCTTTCCCAGGGGCTCGTCCAGGGTCTTCCGGGTCTGTTCGGGTTCAGCCTAGGGTTCCTGCACGGAAGCGGCTAGCAGATGCGCTTTCGGATCCACCCCCACCTAGACCTATGTCTGGGGGTAAGCTCGCGCGCCCAGGGTTAGCTTTTTCCCCTTCCCCGAAGCCTTGCCCTAAACGTGCATCTGCTTACGCCACACATTGCCGAGTGCCCACAGGAACGCACAGTCAGGTTCTCACGGCTTCAGGTGCTTCAGATACAACAATGGGGCCTTCGGCTCTTGCATCTTCGGACGCTGCTTCACACGACAGTGTCAAGGGGGCGCCAAATGCATCTTCTTTCTATTTGCCTTTGCAGTCACGGTCGGGACAGGCTTCTACAAGGCGAACAGAGGGCAAAGCTTCATCGTTGGTGACACAGCAATCTGTGCGAGCAGCGATGTCACTACGTGCTGCAGCTCTTTGGGACACACTTGTGGGCATCTTTCTTGCAATTTCTCCCGTGCTGCAGCAAGCTCATCAGGCAGTTCAGACAAGTCAGATTCTTGATCGTCTTTTTCAGTCTGTCAGTGAATCGACATGCATGCGGTATTGCCAATCTTTGCTGCGTTTCTTGCAAGTTTTTGAGGAGCTGCGTGGTACTGTCTGTGGAGGTTTCGAATTGTTCATGTTCCTGGACGCTTTTGCGGTCTTGGCCAGGCAACCTTCAGGCCCGCTTACTGCTCCAGTGAATGTTCTCAAGGCTCTGCGTTGGATTAAGAAACTTTTCGAGTTGCCCTGGCCCGACTTGGCATCGCCGATGTTTCGAGCGTTGGAGGCTCGACGTCCTGGTCCTCGTCGAGAGTCTGTGCCGTTTCCTGCAGCTTTCATTGCCTTTCTTGAGGCCGTCGTGATTCAGGGGGACATCTTTCCACGCTTTTACAGGTTATTTTCGGGAGCAATTCTTACTTGCATCTACGCAAGTCTTCGATGGAGTGATGCACAGTCGGTCCTCTGGGATGCTATTTTCTTGGACATCGATACACTGCGATCAACTGCTGTCAGGACGAAGGTGTCTACACAGGGCATGCCTTTCGCAATATGGCGTGAAGGCATTCAGGCCAGTTCAGGCTTTTCTTGGGTGGACCACTGGGTCTGGCTTCTTGGCGAAGTTTTCAGTGAGGTTCGTGAAGTCTTGCCAGACTTTACCCCTGATGTCCTGTTTTTCAGCTGGCAAGATGGTATGTTCGAGCCACTATCTTACGCAGCTTCTTTGCGCGCTCTTAGGGAACTCCTGCAGGAATCTGGGTTGTTTGGAGCGTCTCAGATCCAGGAGTTTACACTTCACAGTGCCAAGGCTACAGTTCTTTCCATGGCCATACAGTTGAACGTTTCCGAATTCCTTCGTGCTTTTCAAGGCCATCATCGCATGACGAAACTGTACAGTCGAGACGACGTTCACTATGCGCTGCAGGTTCAACGCAGTGTCCTTGATGCTTTGAGGAGTGGCTGGTTGCCTCGCATTACTATGCTTCGTGGTGCGGCTCCACCAGTGCAGCAACCGGCTTGTACCATTCTCTCTTGCGTACCACCTGCTGCGGTTCATCCTTTCTTTGCGCCTCATTCTTCTGAGCAGCATGGTCAGGTCGCAACGGCACAGCCATCATCTTCGGAGCCTGGTGCTGTGCAGCAGGCGTCTTGCTCTGTCGCAATGAGCTCAACGGGGCCTCCGGAGTCAACAGTTTCGTCAGAACAGGGCATTGCTTCTTCGTCTGATGAGGAATCGGTGCCTCCTGCGCTGCTTGATCTGGGCGCTCCTGAGGAGCTATGCGTTTGGAAGGCTCCAAGCGGTGTGTACCACGCTGGGGACCCAGCTAAAGACATGCTGCCGGCCTGCGGCGTTCGTTCCGCTCGACTGGAATCAGTGGCTTTTCTCCCCGCTGGCGGGCGCCTTTGCAAACGCCCCGCTTGTATGAAGATTTTTGAGCTTCCTTTGGCGTGAAATGCAAAAGGTCCCACTTTTCGCTGCCTCATAGGCTTCTAGTTTTTCTATAGCTTCAAGAGCGCTTTTTCAGTCGGGGAAGCACATGTGAGGGATGCGTGCTCGAGGATAGCATGCATGCGTCAAGCTTCTTCAGAGCGGGGTGCAGGTACCTCAGCACAAGCTTCCCTGTTTCGTCCCAGAAACACGCTTGGCCAATTGGGCCTCTGCTCTCAGCGTTGCAGATAGTTTCCCTTGAGGTAACTTTCTTGCGTACATTTGCTGCATGTTGCATAGGTTGATGGTATCTCCTCTTGTGGTTCCTTTGTTCTCTTAGGCTCCAATGATTGGTACAAACTTTCGGGTCTGCAATAGCTCCCTATGTGCATGTGCGCGTTTTGCGTTTGAGTGATCGCTTCCGCTTCCTCTGCAACAAGAGGCGCTTCAGCAAACCTTCTGAACCCTCCGTTTGGGTGCGGCTCTGCGCGCATAGGCTTTGGTGCTTCATTGCAATCAGTGCCCTGCATGGCTTCATTGGCAACAAGTCTAGGTTTCGATGTGGTCGAGGATGACATGCCAGCTCTTCTGGCTTCTTTCGATATCCCGTCGGAGCTCCACGCTGTGATTGGCAACTTTACGCCCAAGCTTTTCGGGCTTGTGGCTACAGATCTTACAGACTTGAATCACTTCCTTGCTTCTTTGGAATTGGCTTCTTGTAGCGAAGATGAGTTCGTGGTTCGTGCCAAGATTCGTCGTCTTTGGCAGCACTGCTCTGCACCTGAAGTACCAGCCGAAAATCCTGCGGTGAATGCAACGCAACCACTGTCCACTACTTCCTCGACAAGTACGTGGGCGGAGACTTTTCCACCCAAGCTGGATGCTGCCGTTGTACGCTCTTTTCGGGATCGCTTCGAGAAGTCTTATCCTTCCGAAATACTGGACAGTGAATCGATGCCGAGTTCACGGCTTTTAGCTTTGGCACATCGTTATGTCAAAAACAAGGAGTGGCAGTGGATTCCTTGGGCTTGGCGTATGAGCCAAGCTCAGCTTGACGCCTCCCAGCTTCAACGGCCGAGTAAGCTGCCTAAGCTTGACAATCTTTTCGTGGACGAAGTGCCTGTCCGGGACCTTCCACATGGCAACAACCCAGCATCAGAAGGCATCCTTCGTTCTGTGCTCTCAATTCACTCCAATGCCATAGCCCTGGTGGAAGGTGCGCATCTTGGCGTCCTTCGCCTCTATGAGAAGCGTTTCTTGAAGTTGGCCTTGCAGCGCTTCGAGAATGGCTCTGGCTTGCGCTCTGTCAATGTTCAGGAGGCGATGAATGCAGATCGTCGAGCTTGGGAAGTGATAGGTGATTTGCTTGCTCATGGCTGGCAGCTTGACGACGCGATCTCTGAAGTTGTGGAGGTCCGAAACGAGCTGTCCTCAATGCTTCAAGCTCGTCCTTGGACTCCGAAGTTTGAGCCTTCTCGGGGCAAGGGCGGGTTCAAGGGCAAGCCTCCCGGCAAACCTAAGGGTAAGGGTAGGGGGTTTGGCCTTAAAGAAGCTTTTTCAGGCAAGGAACGCACACCCTGGGCAACAGAGATTGTGCGCAACAACGAGGTCCAGAAGATTTGTGTTCAGTACAATCTGCCTTCAGGGTGCCAGCGACCCGCTTGCAAGTTTCTCCATGTTTGCTGTGTTGCCAAGCAGGACGGCGCCCCTTGCGGTGGGAAGCATAGTGCAACTCAGCACCGGGCAACTCCTCACTGACTATCATGTGATGTGGCTTCAGCTCCTTCAAAGTCCTCACAACTCTTGTGTACAGGCGACATTCTTGCAGGGGCGGCTCTACCTTCGAGCAGCAATCCTAAGGATCTGCTGGCCAATTTCCTTGGTGCAAGCGACTTTTCTTTTGCGGCATTACTTTCGGTCTTGGTGGCATTTTTGGGCGATTTGAACTTTTCGAGGCGTGAGCATGTGGTTCAGTCCACAGACTCTTCAGCTTATCTCAACTTTGGATACCGCTCAGGGACACAGGTCGGCATTTGCAATCTGACTTGGGATTTTCCAGAGCTTGTCTCTTTCATCAACCTTTGTTTGAGGCGAGCTTTCCCTGGGAAGAGTTGGGCTTCGGTTTGCGTGTCCCATAACTCTTTTGCAAAGCTACACAGTGATTCAGGGAATTTGTACGGCTCTGAAAACCATGTGCTTTCTCTGGGCCAACATGTCGGTGGCCTTCTTTGGTTGGAGGGTGCATTGGAACAGCCCGCACCTCCCCCATCTTCCCAGTCCGTGGATTGCTCCGGCGGCCTGGTGAACATTCACGAAAAGCCTTTTTCTTTTAACCCACGTCTTCTTCATGGTTCTTCTGAGTGGGTTGGAGATCGATGGGTGCTAATCGCGTACACCCCGCAAGTTTTCCAATCTGCGTCATCCGAAGAATTATTGCAGCTGCAGTCGCTATCTTTTCCATTCCCTGGGGCTGAGACCACATCTTCGGCGGCACTTTCACCATCGCCATCGCTAGTGCCTTTGGCGTCAGATACAAAGCTTTTCCTGGACCTCTGCTGTGGCTCTTCGGCTCCTTTCTCCACGGCGGTACGTGCGCTGGGTATTCCTTGTCTTGCAGTTGATCCACTTTTTGGAGAAGGTTTGGACCTTCACGATGAGACTTTTGATAAACTTCTGGCCTTGGCTCACAATGAATTGGCACATGCTAGTCCACCCTGTGGCGAGTTTTCGCTGGTTAAGCTTCGAGAAGACGGTGGGCCTCGGGCTATCCGCACTCCAGATGAGCCTTATGGCAGGTCTGATCTTACTGAGGCAGAGTCCGAACGCTTGCATACCAGCTTTACGTTGGCAACCCGTTGCATATCTCTGCTGCTGGCAGTGTTTGAGTCCGGTGGCCAAACCAGTCTTGAGCATCCCAGGAACTCTATGCTTTGGCTTTTGAAGGAGGCTCAGTTCTACCTAAACTCTGTGGCAGCTGATGTGGTCGTCACGTCCGCTTGCCAGTGGCAGCAGGATTGGTTTAAGCACTGGGCGTTTGCGACATCTCTTCGATCACTTCAGAGCCTGGCTGGCGTTTGCCCACATGGGAAGGATGCACACGCACAGATCTGGGGCGTCAAAGATGAGACTGGGCAGCATCTGTCTCGCTTGACTGCCGCGTACCCGGAAAGTTTGGCCAACGCCTTCGCCCAGCAAGTTCTTCCTTTATTTACGCCGCTGCCAGACGCACACTTCGTTGTCTTGCAGGAATGTATGCAGCTGCTTCCACGCAAACCTATGTCAGCTTCCTTTCCATGTGCTACCCAGGATGGGGGGGGATCTTTAGCATGCCAGATTGGTCCTCGCCACAGCCAGGAAAGGATGATGTCCTACGTGAAGTACGCCACAAGCTGCATGCAAAGCTTTTGCAGCTTCGTGCTCCACAACGCCTCCGGGAGCATGTGGCAAATAATACAAACTCCCCGCTGTTCACTTCAGAGGAGGTTTTCGAATTGCGTGCAATTTGGGATGCGGTTTTGGCGCCATCTTCTGGTTTGGATTGGCAAGTTTCGGCTGGGCAGCCTTATTCTCTGTCAGCTTTGGAGGCTGTGGCATCCTTCATTTCTGATAAAGATGTGTCGCTATGGCCATGCTTGCATGAGGGGGTGCCGACAGGGTACCGTCGCAATATACCTGTGTCTGGGGTTCTGATTCCGCTTGAGTCAAACGACTTCGATCCACCACCTCTTCAACACTGCACGGGTAACTGGAGTGAGGCAGAAAAGGATCCGGAGTTGTTCCGTGATCTCATTGAGCAGGAGGTGGCTGCTGGCTTCTTGGAAGAGGTTGGTTCACTGGAGACGGCGCAGTCACGTTGGCCGAATCTCACTGCCGTGGGCAAGTGCAACATTGTCAAGCATCCTACTAAAGCTCCTCGCTTGATCATGGACAGTTCTATATCCAATACAAATGCTGGTTGCTACATTCCGGAGCGCTACATGATGCCGTCTCTGCAGGATATTCGCGCATCATGGCCCCTCAGGGGAGATGATACAGATTTTCTGGCATTTGCTATGGACATCAAGGGGGCACACAAAACAATACGAATACACCCTGAAGAGTGGGGTCTCAATATGCTGCAGCTGGCATCCATCTGCTTTGCATATAAATGCTGCCCTTTCGGTGCAGCGTTTTCAGCCTTTTGGTGGGCTAGGCTTTCAGCTTTCTTCATAAGGTTTCTGCATTTGCTGATTTTCTTGAAGCATTCCCTGTGCGCTTACGTGGATGAATTTTACATGGTTCAACCTTGCGAAGTGGCAGCTTTGACGTCATCGATGATCATTTCGGTGTGCCAGTGCTTCAATATTCCTCTCTCGTGGGCCAAATTACAGTTTGGTGCACGTGTGGTTTGGATAGGCTGGTCGTTTAACCTGCGCTCACACTCCTTTCATCTGCCATACGAGAAGCTTGAGAAATTGCATACAATGCTGTCGACACTGCTCAAAGGCGAGTTCACTACGCGGCATGAATTGGAGATCGTTGCCGGTTATTTGCAGTGGGTTTTCCAGATGCACAAACTGCTTAAGCCTTGGTTGTCATGTTTGTACGATGACATGCGTCGTCCAGTTGCAACTTCATACTCCGTGGAGCCTTCACAGTGGATTGAGTTCATTTCATGCATTTCAGATGACCTTCTGATCCAGCGGCAGTTACCTGGCGCGGCGCTCCCTCTGGGTGGTCGTCTCCTTTCGGTGAAACATCAGGCCTTGCGCAGCAAAGCAGATCTACGACGTGTTGGTATTTCACCAAAGCGTATCTGGCTTCGCATAACCAATCCTGCGTCATCCAAGCGTCGACTTTCGCATCAATCAAGGGTCTTCCTGCGATACTGGCAGCAATGGGCGCAGATGCCTTTCTTTTCTCGCCCCCTGGCTATGCCGCCTCGCTGGCTCCCAGACACTTTCGCTGCAGATGCCTGCGCTTCTGGCAACAAGATTGGGATTGGCGGTTTCATCAAGATGGGCGATGCACCTGCAGTGTGGTTTTCTGAGGTATTCAGCCTTCGTTCTCTTCAGAAACTGATCTCTGATCTACCGTCAGTTGCACAAGAGGCCATCACGTGCTGGGAGACTTTGGCCCAAATGGGGCTTGTTCTTCTTTTGGCTTCATGCTTTCCTGGCGGACGACTTAAGATCTGTGTACCTTCTTGGTGTGACAATACTGGGGCGTCCCCTGGCTTTCTTTGCGCAAAAGCTTTCGCTTCTTTCTTGGCATACTGGCATTTCTCTGGATGTTCATCACGTTGCTGGTTTCGAAAACACTATTGCTGATCATCTGTCACGGTGGATGGAAGGAGAGGAGCTGCCATCTGGTTTTTCATTGGATGATCGTTTTCGGCTTTCATGGGAAATGCTTTGGCATTTCAAACCTGATGTTCGCATCTGGCCTGAGTCACACGGGCTTCTTTGGCAACCGCAATCTTTTGCTTTTTCTTGATTGCAAAGCAGTCAGATCGGCAGCCACTTCAGTGGTTGGGTTCAATGTTTAGCGTCTGCTCTTTCTGACTTGTGGTGGCAGTTACACTTTTGGGGTTGGCACTCGACACCTTCAGCTTCAGCTTGCATATTTAGCTTTCATCTTGATTCCAGATTCTTGCTGCCCGCCACCACTCGTCAAAAAGAAAGGGACTTGTGCGAGAGCTCTGCAGGTTTTATCTTAGCTTGCTGGTGCTTAGAAATAGGGGTCGGGTAGAACTGTTCGTGTGTTTACTCACAGATGTTTTACACGACGCCTTTTCATGCACTTTGGGGTATCTTTGCTTCCTATTTCTTAGCACCAGCTGCTCGAACATGTCATGCGCTTGGTGTCCAGTTCAAAGCACCCACCTCTCCCTCCCTTGGGTTCTGTATTTTAGCTTTAAGCTTTGCCTTCGCTTTACGCTGTGGTCCTTCTTTCCCGGTTCGTTTCCCTTCGGTTGGGGGGGGGGGTTGGCACTCGACACCTTCAGCTTCAGCTTGCATATTTAGCTTTCATCTTGATTCCAGATTCTTGCTGCCCGCCACCACTCGTCAAAAAGAAAGGGACTTGTGCGAGAGCTCTGCAGGTTTTATCTTAGCTTGCTGGTGCTTAGAAATAGGGGTCGGGTAGAACTCGCTGGTGCTAAAAGCACCCGGGCCGCTTGCCCTGCGCTGCTATGTTGCTCCACCCCAACCCCCCTGCTTATTCTCATTTCGGGTTTAGGGTTCTACCCCCCCCAACCCCCCTAACAAGGGGGGCCCTTGCTCTCAGCCAGATGGGCAGCAAAAACGTAGGGGGGTATCGATTGGCCCCTGCTTTTTGTAGGCCTGCCGGGAGGGTCTCCAAGAGGCCACCCCCGTAGCCGATGGTCGTCGCTTTGGGGTGATACTATACCAGGAGGCTTTACCCTCCCTGGCCCGCAGATTCGTCTTCGGTTCACGGCTTAGCCCTGCCCGGAAGGCTCGGGCGCCCATGCATATGGTCAGCGCCCTCGCCAGTTTAGGGTTTAGGGTTTAGGGTTTAGGGTTTAGGGCGTTTAGGGTTTAGGGTTTAGGGTTTAGGGTTTAGGGTTTAGGGTTTCGGGTTTGGGGTTTAGGGTTTAGGGTTTCGCGTCTTTTCCCAAATGGTGCATTCAATTTCCGGGGGCTGTAGTTCTTGCGGTGGACGGCATGCTTGCTGCAAAGGCGGATCTTCGGCCCGCTTATTGCAGGCCGACCAACAAACACCCACCCCGCGCCGTTCACGAGGCGGCCCAACCACCCAAACCTATTCCTTTTAGGGTTTAGGGCCTAAACTTTAAAATATACATATATCTTTAGAAGAGGATGGAATATTCCCCTCAAACGCTTTTTGTCGGTAAAATGGAGGGGCGCCAAAAACCATCGAATTCAGCACTAAAAAATCGCATTTTTAATTGCGGGTCTGGCAAATCCTGGGCTTCCGGCTTTTCGGGAGTCTTTTTGAAGCCTTTTGGTGGCGCTTCAAGCAGAACTCCGAGCCAACCAAGAGGCCACCATCAGCACCATCAGGGGGGACCTGCAGCAAGCTGTTGGCGGGGTCCAGCGCGAAATGGTGGATAGGATCGCCACAGTTGAGACGGAGGTCACCAAGCAACTGAAGACCACGCTCCAGCTCCTGCAGGAGCTCACCACGAAGCAGGACAAGCACAAGGAGGGGCTGGACAAGCTCGATGAGGGGCAGCATGTCTTGGAGGAGAAGTTTGGGACGATGAGCGTGCAGTACAAAGACCTCGTCGAGCGGGTGGAGAAACTTGAAAGCAAAGGATTCCAAGGGGGGCTGTCGGCCCAAAGCACGACGACTACTGAGCCGGACGGCCTGGGGGGCAAACGAGTCCCTGCTCTGATAGTGGGAGGCTGGAACGATGACACACCAGCGGGGGAAGCAATCGAGAAAGCTACCCGTGCCCTGCAACAACTCCAAGTAGATTTGGACTACCGCAACATGTTCGTGCCCGGGGTCCGACGTGGTTTTGGGCTGATTCCCTTGAAGGGCGCGAGAGAGGGGGAGAATGCAGAGGACTACAGGCAGCGCATCCAGGGGGCGGTCACCAAAATCCGCAATGCGAAGCTGCAGACGGCACACCCGAGAGGACACGGGCCAACCCCGCTACATGTTCCTCGCGGTCTCGCAGCCTCCAGAGCGAAGACGCCGGGCCAAGCTTGCGGCCAAGGTCAAACGATGCGTATTGGAGCTCGGCGGGGAGCACGGGCACTTCGGCGCAGTCTGGTACCGGGGGCTTCGCGTATCCTCAGCCTCGATGCCCATGAACGACGGAGCCGTGGCAGCTGGAGGAGGATGGGTGGATGTCGCGCTGATGGCTAGGGGGCTGAAGCTCACGCAAGATGCTGTCAAGCAGCAGTGGGAGGGGCTGGCCAGCAGCCTTAAGTGAGAAACAGGACGGACAGCCAAGAGCCGGTTTCACCTCAAAGTTGGGGACAATGGCACCCGACTTGCACTGAATTTTCTCGCCTGGAACACTGGGGGGGCCGGGAGTACCAAAATCCTCGACGTCCTCCAGATGCTCGCGGGGGAGAACTTGTTGCAATGCACGCTCTCCAAACCTATGGTCGTAGCCCTCCAAGAGGTTATCTGCGACACGGGGACCCATGTCGAGAGCTCGAAAACTTGGACGCTTGTCATGGGCAAGACGGACAGAGAGTGGAGAGGAGAAGGCATTGCGTACACCACCAAACACTACCACCACACACACACAGAACCATGAAGGTGCGCTCACTGTGATTCTCTCTGGGGGAAATGTACCCACCGTACCGCTTGAAGCAGCAGTGCAAGCCGCCGCGACACGTGCTGATGTGGAGTCATCTCACCTCCCGCCACGCCACCTTGGAGCAGACCCAACAGCTGCTGGCAACATGGGGGGACAGCTGGGCCATGCAGCTGACCAACACACAACCCAGCACCTCCAGCGACAGTGAAACAAACCCACCGAAGGGCCAAACCCGGCAAGCGCAAGGAGACCGCGTGCCAGCAGCCACCCGCCAAGCCGACCCAGCCCACCGCCCGCGGACCCACTACACGACAGCTGCGGCTGAGAAAGGCAAAGGGGAGGCCACGCCCAAACCCAGACCCCCCCAACCGCCGGCCGACGACGACACGCCGTCGCCAAAGCAGCAGGGGGAAGACCAGCCGGCAGGGCCGTCCCATTGGTACATGAGGGAAGGGGAAACAATGGAGGATTTGGCTCAAGCTTTCGGCTCAACCCCGGTGCCTTTGGTCGGGAGTTGGTAGCTGTCAACGAGCCTGGGGCCCAAATCTGCGTGGGGGAATAGGCCCGTGGACCCGTGGACGAATCCCAGCTTGTCCAACTTGTGCCATGGCTGAGTTTAGGGTGTTCGCCTCCCTTCTGTCTCCCGGTCAGGAACCGTCGGGGGTTCGCCTCCGTTGCAAGGGTGCGATGCATCCTAGGCTAGTCTCAGTTGGCGGGACGCAAGTTCCGGAGCGGGGGGCAATTTCTGGGTGGGGGCTCACCTCCAGGAAAGCTGTGCGTGGTCCCCGCGACAAATTGAGGGGACAAAACCCTGTTGCGCTAGTTAACGTCCAGCCCAGAGAAGGTGAGTTGAAGGCCCCCCGCCCCCAGGCCTTGGGGGTTCTCCTCCCTGCCAAGTGCATTGGGGCGGGCAGCAACACAGGAGGCCTAGCATTGTATCAAGTTGAGACGCTGGGGGTTGACCATTCAGAGTCCCTCCATGTGATGGCATAGGTCCTGTAGCCTGTAGTAACCAAGGCTTTCTTTTCTCACCTCATTTTTCCTGTGGGATTTTGGGCTCAGCACGGGCCTGGAAAGCGCCCGGTAAGCAGTGCCGTAGGCAAGCACGCCTAGTCACAACGACTCTGGGTGTGTAGGCTGTAGGTGTCAAAACCCTTTTCCCCAGGCCTGGCTCAAGGTAGCCACCCGGGTTTCTTAGGATTGCCGTTTCGGCGGCCGCGCTTTGCGCTTTGAGAAGAAACAATGGAGGAGGCGATGGCCAGGTGGGCCAGAAACAAACACGAAGGGAGGGGGGAGCAGAGAACCCGGAACAGGGAGCAAAAAGCCCAGCGTGCCAAAGAGCGCAAAAGGGCGCAGCGCGAAGCAGCAGCCAAGCTACGAGAGCAGCCCACCGACGCACCGCCCGACCAACCAACAGACTGGGCCGACCTCCTAAACAGGCACAAGCAACCGAGGGGGACGTGGGGCCAACCAACGCAGCAGCAGCAACAGCAGCGCCACCAACAGCCACCACACTCCCAGCAGGGGGCCGGCGCACCACACCAGCGCACAGGAGGAAAAGGGGGACAAGCACCGCGCTCGCCGGACCAGCGGGAGCAACCCCACCGCGGCACAAACGACGAGAGTGAGAGCACAGAAACCCACTGGAGCAGCAGCGACGACGACGAGGAGGACGAAGACGAGGAAGAGGAGACAGGCTGCACACCCAACACCGCCACGCCGCAGCAACCAGCAACGGGAGGGGGGGGAGTGGCTGAGGCAGGGGGGGGGCAACAACCGCCGCGGCAGCAATCGCAACCGACATGCGCCCGAGAAACAGCAGAGAGGAAGACGAGAGCCCCCGTTGCTGCCCATCGCCAGGGAAGCCCAGATCGTGTTCCGGCTGGGCCAAAAGGGGGTGTGCGTATGGGAATTTGAAGTCCTCCCACACAGCAAGACCATTCCTGGGGGGCAAAGGGGGGTCAGCACCCCAGGGCAAGGACCAACCCCCCCCATCCCCATCGCGGTCCGTGGTCAACTAAGAAAGGTGCGGGGGAGGATGTGTGGGTGATGGCAGTGGTTGCATATCAAGCCCACAAGGAGGGGGACAAAGCGAGAGGCCAGACGGTACAGCTGCAGCAGGGACAACTGGCGAGGGTGGACCCGCACATATACAAAGCGGCTCGCGTCACGCCACTACCACCACTCACTCGCCCCAACTACCAAGTTGGAGGGTCCTCCGGTTCGGGACACCCCCCAAGGCCAGAGCAGCGGCCACCGCACCAGCAGCAGCAGCAGCAGCAGCAGCAGCAGCAACACCAGCAGCAGCAGCAGCAGCACCACCACCACCACCACCACCACCACCACCACCACCACCACAACACCAGCAGTCCCAGTCTCCACCTTCCACGAAACCAGAACCACCAGAAGCGGAGGCAGAGGAGCCAGAGGATGTAGCGATGGTCCAAAAAGCCAGGGGCAGAGGCAGAAGGGGGGGCAGACACGGCGGTGGCAACCATAACTCACGAAAAAGGCGGGGGCCAGAGCCAGCAACAAGCCGACCAGCCAAGCGCGCTAACACAGATGGCCGCGCAAGGGCGGCCACCACGGCAGCCTCATACATGCAAGCAGCGATGGAAATCCTGACGGAACAAGCAAAAATGGCCGCGGAGGGTGACGAGGAGGAGGCGGAGGGGGGCTGGGATGAAAGCAGCCAACACCTGGAGGCGGCGCTGCAATGCTTAAGGAGGGTGGGGCAGGTAGACGAGGGGGGCGAACAACAAGACAGCGACGGCAGCCACCAAGCAAACAACACCGCCCATGTGCCTCTCCCTCACGGCGGTGCGGGGAGGACATGCCCCAACCGCGCCGGGAACCGCAGCCGGGGGGAGGAAGGCTATGGCAGCAGCAGCAGCAGCACAGCCAGAGCCATACCCGTTCCCCCCCATCACAAACAACCCTATACCGAAAGGACGGCAGCCCAGCACCAAGACAAGCCCCCAAACACCACCGAGCACCGAGGACCCGGGGAGGGGACCACAACCTGGGAAGAGGTGGCGCGCCTAGCAAGGCAGGTGGGCAGGGGTGGGGGGGGCTATGCAGGAGCGTTGAGGTCGTGAAAATGGCAGGGACACCAACGAGGAGAACTACCTGGGCGGGGAGGAAGTGCCTGCGAAGGAGGAGGAGGCGGAGGAGGAAGAGGGGGAAGAGGGAAGGGGGGCTGAGCCATCCACACCACTCACACCGCCGACGACGCCCGCCCGCCACGAGGGAACCCTTCGAGGAACCTGTCAGACGAAGAGGAGAAGCACAAAAGGGGGAAGCGGAGATTAAGAATAGGGGAGTAGGCCTTAGGGGGTTCCCAAGTCATGCCGCTGTCGTGGGGGCCGTGCATTAATCCAGCCCTGCACAAGGAAGCCACAAAGGAGGCAACTAGGGGGGTGTGACTTGTAGGGTCTTTCCCTCGGGGTAGCGAGTCGTAGTGGTGAACAGGGCTCTTTGAACAACGTGCAGCACAAGTTGGACATGGGCATGGGGTGTAGCGTAGGGGGGCCTGTTCGGTTACTAGGGAACTAGGGAATTGGGGGCAGGCACACAGTCCAACCTAGAGCGGCCTGCAGAGCCGAGTTTCACGATTGGCCCGCAGAACAGAACAGGTTGGGCACAAACACAGTGGGGTGCTGAGGTTAGGGGTGGTTTCGTGCCTTAGTGCTGTTGTTCGGAACGGAATGTACTGTAATGCTGTTGTTTGGGGCAAGTTCCAGCCTGAAAGGGTCAACACTGCAACGTCTCACAGGCAGACGTGGTGTGAGGAGGGAAGGACACCCGGGGGGGAACATACTCTGATGTGGGAAGGGGGGAAGGGTACTTAGCACGCAATCTCACATCACTGTCTCCCACCGAACCTAAGCACCGCTCCGGAAACAGGGGCGGGCGATGACGCCCGGGGGCTCCGGCCTGCACGGCCTCCGAAAGAAAGAAAGAAAGAGAGAAAGAAAGAGAAAGAAGAAAGAGAAAGAAAGATAAAGAAAGAGAAAGAAAGAGAAAGAAAGAGAAAGAGAATGGACATTTTCTCGAGCGTAGGTTTTCAAACACATTGACGTACCATGGTTGTACTACTAAAGGACGATTTTGGAGGGGAAGGGAGGGGCCTAAAAGCACGCGTGTACAACTGCAGAGACCCGTATAGGTGCGACGTTTGTACTACAAAAGGACGATTTTCAAGGGGACGGGTACAAAAGGACGATTTTATTGGGGAAGGCGCGCGTACAACCGCTTGGACCCATAGAGTTGTGATATCCCTTTCCGAATAAGACAGAGGACTCCCCAAATCGGAAGAATCGATATAGAATACAACAAAAATACCTTGTCTAAAAAATCGAAGCAATGATCGAATACAAAACCGGCTATGCCATGTTTTCGATTTTACTTAGATGTTTTCGACTTTTCAATTGCTGTCTGCTTGTGTTCGATTGTTTGCCGATTTTTTTCTCAGATGTTTTTCGGGTTTTTTTCCGCGAAAACATCGCCGAGAAATCGGTCCGCGTGTGGGCAGATGTTTTAGATTTTCCCCGATTCTGTTTCGATTCTTGATCGATTTTTTGCTTTTTAGATTCCTTCTGAAATCCTCTGTCTTACAAGGGAAAGGTACATCATAACCATAGAGGCACTAGATGACCATCAATAATGTATACAAGGACGACGATCGATTGGTAGGCGGGCGGGCGGGCAGGGAGGGGCGCGCGCGGCGGGCGGAGTGTGCCGCCAAAAGCAAAAAAAAACCCCACACAGTGATGGGGGGAAGGAAGCGTACAATTGCCCAGCAGGCCAATATGTTCGAGCGACAAAGGCGTTCTTCCTACCTGGAGTTTCGGGTACCCAAAACAGAGCATAATTAGCTTAGAAACCGACATAAATTGACCATTTGAGAGACAAGCTGCTTCAAAGGATTTCTGGACTGTTGTGCGATACTTTAAACCTTAACCCTTCTACAACCCTATAAAGCTTTATAAAGCCCTTCTATAAACTACCCTAAGCCCATAGAAACCCCTTCTAAACCCGTACAAAGCCCTGAACGCTAAATGCTAGGACGTCGGGAGGAGCAAAGACCTTGCTAGACTGGAATCGCCTCAGAGCCTGCTGGCGCTTTAGTTTGAGGGGTTGCTGGGTTTAGGGTAGTTGGAACAGGGCCGTAGATTGCCGCGAGGTTTTCGGCAATCTATGGCCTGTCCGCGAGGTTTCCGGCATTTCAGGGCTTATGGGGGGGCGGGGGTGGGGAGGGGGGGATAAGAACGTCATTCATATTGCGTCCATGCCCAAAGCACTGGTATTTACAGCGTTTCCGCCTCTACAACATATGCAAGGATGTGGAACAAGAAATCTGCCACAAGCGTCCATACCTTTCGCGACCATGCCCAAAACACTGGTATTTTACAGCGTTTATTGCCGAAAAAACACTGGTATCTGCAGCGTTTTCGCCTCTTTGTACAACATGTTGGGCAAGGATGTGGAACAAAAAGTGGACGTATAGAAACCATCTCGGGTCTTGCACTCCTATGCAGTTCTTTCAGCATTTGTGCAAAGTACTCTGATCTTCCCAGCACGGCAATGCGAGGATAGAAAGAAGTCGACGCTGAAGTACGATGTCAATTAACCACAATGCCTCAAATTGAGTATAAATCGAAGTATGTTTTTGGAGACGGCGCCTCTAAGAGGCCGTGCGAGTAACCACAATTTCTGGGCTCGGGGTGGGGTTGGGGGGGGGGGGGGGGGGGGGGGGTGACTTGGGACTTCACACCTGCAACTCCAAAGCCTGAACCCCTAATCCCCAAAGGCCTAAACCCTTGCTGTTTAATTCGGGGTTTATAAGCAAAACGCGCCCGCGCCTAGGCGAGAGCGCAATTTCAAGCAAAAAATGTGTCCGAAACTTCAAAACGACACCCCCGAGAAAAAAACACAACAAACAAACGATCCTTAAACCCAAAAGAATAGTCCAAGCAGTGCAAACCCAAATCCTGAAACCTGAACCCTAAACTTTGAACCTTGAACCCTGAAGAAAAAATCAACTTGAGGCCACTTTCAGGATCCAGTGCACAAGTCTGTTGGGTTACAACCAAGGCACAATTCCAGAAAATCATGCCTGCGCTGTGGCGAGAGCACTATTTCGAACCTGAACTGCCGGAGCCATAGCGCAGAAAAAACTTCCCGAACCGAAAATCGCCATTTGAAAGTTCAACATGGGGAATGAGCAAAACGTGCCCGCGCCTAGGCGAGAGCGCAAATTCGAGCAAAAAACGAGTCCAAAACTTCAAAAAAAATGGACCCCTGGAAAAAAACAACAAAAAAAACGATCAGGCTTCGAGCGAAAATGCATTTTTACGAAAAAATGACCTAACCCTTCAGTGTTTTCGAGCCCTGCAAATGCTGCGGTGATCACGAAAATGTGTGTTTTACTTTGGTTTTCAGCCCTCGACGCGAAAAATGTAAACACAGAATGTGTTCAGTCACACGGCCTCTTACGGGCGCCGCCACCATGTTTTTGTTGTTTGTTCAACCTCCTGTTTTAGGAATCCTGCCTAAACCCAGGTAAAACGCACGCTTTCGTACACCCAAACTCTATGCCCGTGTTCCGGGTAGTTACACATGTTGAAAGTGTCTTTTTTCCCTTGATACACCGGGCTTTGGCATGGTCAAAGGTGTAAGCTGTTCAACACCACACCTTGTCCCTTTTCAGGCCTCCTATCTTTCAAGAAACCCTAAACCTTAAACCCCGTACATATTGCCAACTTGATGGTGTCAGGCTCGAGTTCCAGCTGAACCACCTGGCCCATGTACCCATGCTGATGATTATCTTGGATCTCAAAGGGGTCCTAGATTGTAGCTAGAGGACGCAAGTACATATATTCTAATTACATGGATCCTGACAGCATTGAACCCGAACTTGCACCCCATTCCGACATCCCTAAACCCTAACCCCTCCCTTAATCCGGAATCCTCACCTCCAGTCTTAAGACTTATAAAGCCTTGATGCGCAGTTAGCCTGCATTGATACTCAAGCCTAAGCACCCTACACCCCTTGAACCCCTAAACCCTTAACCATATAGTCCGCGAACCCTAGAAGGAACAAAACTGCTGTTCTTCGAGTTGACCGTCTCCCGCATGGCAAGTGCCGCGGCAAAATCCGTCCGCTGCAGTGAAAATTTCATTGCCATTGGAGAATTATGCGGAGGACTCCTAGAGCCCCAGAACCCCGAAATCCCAAACTGGGAACCCTAGATTCTAAGCCTTTGGCGGGGTTTGGGTGTGAGGGGAGCGGAGGGGATTTAGGTTCACACAGGCTTATGCTTGGCTGTTGGTGTATACATCCACACGATAAGGGCTTTAACTAGAAGAGCAACAGCTAGCAGCTATGAGCTCACAGTTGACGGTGTTCGGGGTTAGTTGATGGGGTTCCGAAGGAAGCAAGATCCAGGAGTCGGGGTGAGGGTGTTACCGAGTGGTTCGTGATGAAAAGGCGACATTAATTGCCACCAGCAGGTGTGCTTTGAAGGTTTAGTTGTGTTTGCAGTCAAGGGAGGCTTACAGGCATTAGGGACGACGGGTGACTGAATGCTCTCACCTCCTTCTTGGGCCGACGTCTGTAGCACGGGTGTACGGACCCCTCTGACTTTTCTTGTTCCTCTGTTGTGTCGAAAGATGGGCTTTCCAGTAGTCCCTAAACCGTACACAGTACAAGCCCAAACTCCACATTTAAGTTTTGAAGCTTTGCGCGGCGCAGGACTTTGCATTTTTGTCGGCCTTGCTCCCGTGATCATGCTTGCTATCCACGGGATACATAGCTGGGCTGCCCCTTGAATGCACGTGGCCGCGTTGAATGCGTTGCATGCTTTGCATCTGCGGTGTAACAACCAAAACGAAGCCTCAAGCCCCGAGACTTAGACCCGAAACGCTAAGCCTGAACCCCCTACATCTCAAACTATGCATCCTAAACCTCAAGTCTTAAATCCTCAGCCTGAAAGGCCTTAGTCACATGAAGCCCATTGTACGCGGGCTTGAGGTGTGCAGGCGTTAAACCATGATTGCTCTATGCAACCCCTGCCGTCACCATTGAATTGATGGAGTTTTGGGTTTACGATATAGGTTCCGGATCTTGAGGTTCGGGTCTCGGGTAAGATTTAAGTATTAGGTTATGGGTCAGAGGTTCTTTGACTGAGCAGGGAGGAAAATGAGGATGGTTTCGGCACTGATCCGGTTGCGCCTTGGCAGATGATTTTCCAATCATCTTCATTACGTTCCAAAGCTGAAGCCTAGAGTTTTCATGACTATGTAAACCCTTTAGGGACCTCGGGACACTTGCCTTGCGGGAAGGGTCTTCGCGCCGGTGCTGTAGTTTTCGCGGTCTAGCATTCGTTTTCGCGGTCAAGCACCAACATGTGGCGGACAAGCACCAACAATTCGCAGACAAGCACCAACAAATCGCGGCCAAACACCAACAATTCGCGGACAAACACCAACAATTCGCGGATAAGCACCCGACAAAACCAAAAAAAACCAACAATTCACGGACAAGCAACAATTCGCGGACAAGCATCAAAAATAGCACCAACAATTCGCGGACAGTCACCAACAACTCGCGGACAAACACCACCAATTCGCGGACAGGCAGCAACACTTCGTGGACAAGCTTAAACGAGAAGTGAAATCTTTCATGATGTTATGGGGTCTAATGGGTGGATGGGTCGATATTCGATACTGGAGTAAGGAGCTCTACTAGGAATGTTTGGACTTGAGATGCGGGCTTTGTGCACAAAGGCACCGGAGCCCCAAAACGCCCCCAAGGCCCCAACAGCCCCAACAGGCCTTTGGGGCCTCGATGTATTTTGTCTTCAGGGTTTAGGGTTTAAGGTTTAGGGTTTAAGGTTTAGGGTTTAAGGTTTAGGGTTTAAGGTTTAAGGTGAAGCTAAAGACATCCAGACAGGCTCCCACAAAAGGAAAAAACCCTCGGGAGCCCTCGGGATCAACAAAGCCCCACTGAAGCCACCCCAGCAAAAGGACCCAAAACATGCCCTTCAAAAGGCTCCAAAAGGGTCCCCAAAAAGCCGAAGGCTCGGAAGGGTCCCCAAAAAGGCACCCGGGAGGGCCAAAATCCGCAAACATGCACCAAAAAAAGGCGCCCGGGAGGGTTCTAAAAAGGCCCAGGAGACACCAAAAAAAACATAGAAGTTGTATGTGGTATCATTGTTTCCCACGTGTAAACAGCTGAAAAGCCGAGTTTAAATGAATGAGTTTGGGAGGCCACGAAAGCCCCCCCCAAACCCTAAACCCTAAACCCGAAACCGCAAACCCGAAACCTAAGCCTTAAACCCTAAACCCTAAAGGCCCTGGAGGCTCCAAAAGTCCCCGGGAAGCTCGGGAGCACCAAACGGCCCCGAGACCCCAAAGGGCCTTTCCCCCAAAGTGTGACGTGTGAACCTAGCCTTCAACCCTCAGCCCTCAACCCTCAACCCTCAACCCTCAACCCTCAACCCCCAACCCTCAACCCTTAACCCTAAACCCTAAACTCGGTCAAAACCTTCGGTCCAAACGTGGTTGGGACCCAAGGTGCTGGGCTTGAGTCTCGCCCGGGAAGAATTGAGAGCTTCGTTTAACATGTCGACCTGGAGAACCGATGTACCCTCAACAAGAGGAAGTGTGCCCCTAAAATTCTTTGCGTAGTCCCTTTGGGGGTATAATAGGTCGCAGTGCACCTTCCAGTAAGGTGGGCCAGGACGACTTCGAGGCATGGAGCGCAGGATTCGGGTTTTGCGAGCTTTGGAAGGGTTTTGTCTTCAGGGCCTGGCGTTCAGTTTTATTTAGGTTTTATGCTTTAGTTTAGTTTTTAACTCTAAGCTCTAAACCCTGACCCCTCGAGTTGCGAAAGTTGTGTCTGCCCAAGTTTTTCAAGGCCATGTTGGTGACTCTTAGGCAGTTCTAAAGTGGAGTACTATTTGCTGGGAGTGGCCACGTTCGTTATCCGAGCTAGACTTGCAACCCTAACCACAGCTTCTTAGGGCCCACACCACCAAAACACCAAACGTCACACCCTTTTCAGCACTTCTAGATTTTGGATTGTACTTTGGGACTACATTTCCCTTACTTCCTTGAAAGGAATTCCATCAAACTGCATAGCTTCAAGATGTTGATTTGCCCTAACTAACCCGAAGCCCAACTATGCCCTAAACCCTAAACCCTAAACCCTAAATTTAAGAGCCTCCGGCTCAAGCCGCCGACCCCGCTGGAGCATAGTTGAGAGGTCTAAACCCGCTCGCATGGTTCGAAGATCATCCCAGCCTGCTTGGCAGAGTTTTGTGAAACGTTTGGGGGGGGGGTAGGTAGGGGGGGGGTGTGGGGGGGGGGTGCGGGGGGGGGGGGGGGGGGGGGGGGGGGGGGGGTGGGGTTGGGGGGTGGGGGGGGGGGACTGGGGGTGGTGGGGTGGGGGGGGGGGGGGGGGGGGGGGGGTTTTGGGGGGGGGTTGGGGGGGTGGGGTGGGTGGGGGGGGATTTTGGGGAGGGTTGGGGGTGGGGAGGGGGGGGGGGCCCCCCCCCCCTGTGCTGAACCGCCCCCCCGGGCAAGGAGGGAAAGAGGGAGTTTTCGCCTCCTCAAACCCATCCAACACGCCGCCAGGGTCGGCGGACCCTAAACCCTAAACCCACCCTAAACCCTAAACCCTAAACCCTAAACCCTAAACCCTAAACCCTAAACCCTAAACCCTAAACCCTAAACCCTAAACCCTAAACCCTAAACCCTAAACCCTAAACCCTAAACCCTAAACCTAACCCTAAACCCTAAACCCTAAACCCTAAACCCTAAACCCTAAACCCTAAACCCTAAACCCTAAACCCTAAACCCTAAACCCTAAACCCTAAACCCTAAACCCTAAACCCTAAACCCTAAACCCTAAACCCTAAACCCCAAACCCTAAACCCTAAACCCTAAACCCTAAGAGGTGGCAAATATGAGGAGCTTCTCTCTGCATCCCTTGCGTGCCACTTGCCGCTACGAAGTCTACACGGAGGCCGCTGGTGTTCGCTTGAGTCGCACGCTGCGTATTAAAGGAATTCTATCGGTTCAGGCTGCCGGGGGCAGGAAGCGTTTGCAAATCAGAGTTTGGTCACCTGCTGTTTTCCGAGAAGCTTAGTGCGGCGTGCAGGTTGGCCAAATCGGAGTCTGAAGAAATGGTGTGGAGGCTTTAGGGGCCTAATCCCTAAACTCTCAACCCCCAACCCTCCACCCTAAACCCTAAACTTGTGACGGGCGTGGTGCCAGAAGTATTGGGTTTTAGTAAAACTAAATAAATACAAGAAGAAATACAAAAAAAGTACAAACGGGGAATGCAAGAAAAATACGAGCGCAGAAAAGCCAGCCGAACAAAGTGCAAGAAAAACACACGAAAATTACAAAAAAAACACAAGCAACTTACAAGACAATACAAGAAAAATACAAAAAAAACACAAGAAAAACACAAGAAATATACAAGAAAAATACAAGAAAAATACAAGGAACATACAAGAAAGTTACAAGAAAAATGCAAGAAAAGTACAAGAAAAACACAAGAGCAAATACAAGAAAAACACAAGAGGCGCGGAGGCGTGGGGGGGGGGGGGGGGGGCTTGTGTTTTTGTCGTATTTTTTTCGTGTTTTTTCGCGTGTTTTTTCCGTGTTTTTTCCGTATTTTTTCCGTGTTTTTTTCGTGTTTTTTCCGTGTTTTTTTCGTATTTTTTCGTATTTTTTTCGTGTTTTTCGCGGGGGTGGGGGCGGGGGGGGGGGCGGGGGGGGGGGCGGGGGGGGGGGGCGGGGGGGGGGGGCGGGGGGGGGCGGGGGGGGGGGGCGGGGGGCGGGGGGGGGGGGGGGGCCGGGGGGGAGGGGGGGAGGCGCGGAGTCGCGGGGGGTCTTGTATTTTTGTCGTATTTTTTCCGTTTTCCGTATCTTTTTCGTGTTTTTCTTGTATTTTGAAATATGCGAAAAATACGCGAAAAATACGAAAAAAACACGAAAAAACACGGAAAAAATACGAAAACAAATACGAAAAAAATACGGAAAAAACACGGAAAAAATACGCGAAAAACACGGAAAAAACACGACAAAAACACAAGCCCCCCCCCCCCCCCCCCCCGCCCCCTCCGCCCCCCCCCGCCCCTCCCCCCCCCCCCCCCCCCCCCCCCCTTTTCCTTTGCTTGCATTTTTCTCGTATTGTTCTTGCATTTTTCTTGTATTTTTCTTGTATTTTTTCTTGTGTTTTTCTTGCATTTTTTTTGTATTTGTCTTGCATTTTTTTTGTATTTCACCGTTGTTCCTGAATCGCTACTTGTATTTTCTCTTGAATTCATTCTTGTATTTTTCTTGTATTTTTTTTCATTCTGCTGGGGGGTCAATACTTCCGAGACGCGCTCCTCACAACCCTAAACCCTAAACCCTAAACTTCACCCAAACCGCACTCAAAGGGTCCGAGTCTGGCGCAACCTGCGCAGGAGAGCGACTGCGCAAGGGCAGGCAAGACATGGCTGTCTGCTCATCTTATTGCTTATCACCCAACTGTCCAAACACTAAGCCTAAAGGCTTAGGGGTTTAGGCTTTAGGGTTTAGGGTTCAAGGTTGAGGGTTCTGAGGCCCTTCGCTCGTTGTGTTTTGGGAGCTTGCTTGTCGCCAGCGCCTGTCCCTTGCGACGGGCGTCGATGGAAGTGCAGGATCAGACTTCACTGGGAATTTTCGGTTTTAGGGCTAACTGTAGGGTTTTGTCAGGGCTTGGAGTTTATCACCTTCACCTCTTACGTCTCCAAAGCCTCCGCTGCTCTTCGTATCCTTTGAGTCTTCGGGGCGTTGAGGTTGTGATTGTGGTGAGTTCAGGCAAACAACTTTTGGGATGCATGGAGCAAGGGGGGTCATGCAGCTGATCCTAGATTTATAGGGTTTGGGTTAGGGTTTACGCTTTAGGGCTTGGCGTACACACCCTTTCTGCGGGTGTGAGGGAGGACAGGGTGATGCTTTGGGCAACATAAACCTCATCCAGGTCCCAACGGCCATCTGTTTTGGGAACTCAAAGTTGCATTAACACCCACGGTTCAGCTTCAAAGCGGTCTTGCAGTCTCATCAGCATGCGCTGCGTCACCAGCATCCCGCACATGAGCAACATACTCGCCAGCTCGAGCATCACAACCTCATGACCTCGAGAGAAATAGATCTCAACAATTAGGGGTACTTACGGGAACCTCTAGGCAAACCCAGCCCTAAGCCGTAACCCCAAGCCCCCAAACCGAACCCCCAAAATCCCCAACCCTACGACACTTCCTTGCTCGGAGGCTTGCAAGAAGTCTCAGCGGAGACGGGCGTGCCTTTGCCCCCTGCCACTGAAAGATCCCTTGGTCATGGGACTTAGCCAGGCCAGGGTTTCGTGCAGGTTTAGGGTTTGGGCTTGGGATCTAGGGTTTAGGGTTTAGGGTTTATGTTTTAGGCCGAAGGGCTTTAAATTTCGGGTCATCTGCCTTGACCGCTTCTCTTGCACTCCCCACTACCCCATTGCCGGCCACCACAACACATCTACACAAACATTCGTATGTGCGCGCACGAGTCTTAAAGTTAAAGTGACTGTTAAAGTGTAAGCCCCCGCAATCTCACACCTTAGCCCTTCCTCGACCCTAGACCCCAACTTGGCTTACTTGGAGGTTCATGGTCTGAGGAATCTCAGGGTACGTACAAGCCCCTTAAGTTCCCTAGTATGGTTATAAGTACAGTTATAAGTACAGATATCATTGGTTATTAAGTACCATGAACCTCCAAGTACCCCTAAATCCGGGCAAGCTGGTAGTGAGGTTGCAGTGCTCCAGCTGCCGAACTACAGAAGTCTGTCAGCGGCATGCTGATTGGGAGGCAGTGCTTGCAACTTTCTGGTTTAGGGTTTCGGGTGTGACATGTAGGGTTAGAGGAACCCCGATAGGGTCACAAGCAACTTTAACAGCTTTCTTGCCCTGTACTATAGATACCCACCACCGCCCTGCCACCCCACAACCTACACCATGCAAGCCTTAGTCCCCAACCCCCAAACCCTAGTCCTCTGTTGATATCTCGAGTTTGACCCATGAACCGGCCTGTCCTGCACCTCGAAAACTCAGGCAGTCCAAAAACCTCAAGAAGTTAGGGTTTAGAGTTTAGGGTGGGGGTTGGACAAACGCGCCCAGGTTGCTTCCTTAGGGACGTTAGGTTATTTCTAGGTCGCCAGAGCTCCAAGGAAAACATTTCCGTTCAGCCATGAACCTGCATGCCAGGATGTGCACAAGCCGCCCCTCAGACTCGTGGCCTACATCACGTTGCATGGCCGTTCCTCGGTGCCGAGCGACTGGTATGTTCTCTTGACATCTGAAGCCCTGCGTAATGTAGTCTAGTAACCGCAAGCCTTAACGCCGAGGGCTTAAACCCTGAACTGGAAAGCAGTGCAGCAGGGTGGGTAGGGGTGGGGCTGGGGGTGGTGGTGGTGGTGGTGGTGGTGGCGGTGGTGGTGGGGTGGCGGTGGTAGTGGTAGTGGTAGTGGTCGTGGTCGTGGTCGTGGTCGTGGTCGTGGTCGTGGTCGTGGTCGTGGTCGTGGTCGTGGTCGTGGTCGTGGTCGTCGTAGTAGTAGTAGTAGTAGTAGTAGTAGTAGTAGTAGTAGTAGTAGTAGTAGTAGTAGTAGTAGTAGTAGTAGTAGTAGTAGTAGTAGTAGTAGTAGTAGTAGTAGTAGTAGTAGTAGTAGTAGTAGTAGTAGTAGTAGTAGTAGTAGTAGTAGTAGTAGTAGTAGTAGTAGTAGTAGTAGTAGTAGTAGTAGTAGTAGTAGTAGTAGTAGTAGTAGTAGTAGTAGTAGTAGTAGTAGTAGTAGTAGTAGTAGTAGTAGTAGTAGTAGTAGTAGTAGTAGTAGTAGTAGTAGTAGTAGTAGTAGTAGTAGTAGTAGTAGTAGTAGTAGTAGTAGTAGTAGTAGTAGTAGTAGTAGTAGTAGTAGTAGTAGTAGTAGTAGTAGTAGTAGTAGTAGTAGTAGTAGTAGTAGTAGTAGTAGTAGTAGTAGTAGTAGTAGTAGTAGTAGTAGTAGTAGTAGTAGTAGTAGTAGTAGTAGTAGTAGTAGTAGTAGTAGTAGTAGTAGTGGTAGTGGTAGTAGTAGTAGTAGCAGCAGAAGAGGTAGAGGAGGTGCCTGCCCCAAACCGCAAGCCCGTTCAGGCGACAGTCGCTCCTTCAACGTTGTTGCAGCAGGAGCCGTGGCTTGGGATTTGGGTCTTGCGTTTGAGGTCCATGCTGCTGGAAATAAGACACTTCGTATGGTTCTAGGAAATTTTCCCCACGTCAATGTGTGGGGTTTTTGTGTTTGGGGCCGCGCTTCGCCACCCGTCGCTGCCGCCTGTCGCCGCCCGCCCCACCCGCCCGCGTCCCGCCCCGCCCGTGTCCTGCCCCGGCCGCGTCCCGCCCATGGGTATCCCCCCCTTTCTCCCCTTCAAAAACGTCTTTTTGTAGTACAAACTTAGTACCTGTATGTGTTGCTGCGGTTGTCGACGCGCGCCCTCCCCTTTAAAATCTATGTGTCGCTGCGGTTGTCGGTGCGCCCTTTTGGCCCCCCCCCCCCTCCCCTTTAAACTCGCTGTCCGTTTGTAGTACAAATGTAGTACTTTTGCCTGTCTCTGCGGTTGTCGGCGCGCGCTTTTGAGGCCCCTTTTACATCGTCTTTTTGTAGTACAAACGTAGTACCGGAAATCTCCGCCTCGAAACCTCGCAAAAATCGTGGGAGTCGAATTCTTGACGCTCGAAAACCTCGCAAATATCGTAGCAATCGAATTCCGCACGCTGGAAAACCTCGCAAATATCGTTGAATCAAATGCCGCACGCTTGACAGGCGGGCTAAACCCTAGACCCTAAACCCTGAACCCTAAACCCTAAACCCTAAACCCTTTTCATTACACAGGCGATGTTTTGATATGACTGTTGCAGGAGGTGCGTGGGTCCTGGATTCTTGCCGTGTCGGACAGAGCGCTGCTCTCAGACCTCAGATCTTGGGCTGTTCTGTTGGGGACCGTGAACCCTGAGACCGCAATTCCGAAACCCTGAGCCGTAAATCGATGATCTTTGCTTGGTCTAGACAGAAGCCCAAACTTCTCTTGTGGCTCAGGGTCTGCTTGGCAAAAGGCCTGTGGCCAAGGCTTGTTCAAAGCAACAAAGGTCAAGTAGGTTGAAGAAGCAACATACTTAAAGTTGCACTCCCTTTATACAGTTGGGCAAAACCAATCTGGGACCCTTTATGTGAGAATTCTTCCCTGGTCCCCGAAACAAATTTGGGGGGGGGGGGGGGGGGAATGCTTTGCGTCTAGAACAGTATGATATTTGCGCAAAAGCCCCTAATTATTCTGTGTTCTTCTTTTTGGGGGTTTTCTAGTTTATGAAGCTCCATTTTTTATTTCCTTCTTTTGAACATCTTTTCATTTATTATCTTGTCCAACTTTAGGGATGTGGCCTGGAGAGGCTTTCTATCTTCCAGATCCTTGTGAATTCATTTTTGCTAACACGCTTCTTTTATGTAGTGTTGCTGCATCTGTAGGAAATTGTTTAATTTGTTTTGAGATTCATCACAATATATCAGTTTATTCACTTTGTGGTCATTCTCTGTATCTTCTCTTTTATTAGTTTGTAGATTCAAGAATTTCGTATTCTCGCATATTCAATTAATGATTCACTTTACAGTTGCCGTTTCTTTTTCTTACAACATTATACATTTCTTTCATCTAATTCTTGATCTTTTGCTTGTTTTTATTGTCTTCTTTTCTTGCGTTCACACCTTGCTGCCCCTTTAGTTTTTTGGCCCGACACGTGTGCGCATGCTTCATCAAACGTGAGAGTGCTGTCTTGGATTTCCTGGTCGGCTGCATAACTTGTTATGGTGTGCACAGGCGGAGTATTACAAAACTCTAGTCCCTAGGAAGCAGGAAAAAGATCTGCCAAAAAAAGTGTTTGGATGTGAGTACAAGGCTTACAGCAATTAAAAAATTAAAACCCATACCCAAAAACAATACAAAACAATAAAAAGCCTAAACATACTAGCTTTGCAGGACTCGTGGGAAAGCTGGGACACCGAGACCAAACATCAGGCCAAAAAACCAATTCCCAAAAACCAAAAAAACCCAATACCAAAAAAGCCAAAAGAACCAATTTTCCGGGACTCTTGATTTGCAAGCTTATTTCCACAGCTTTCGCAGAGTCCCGATTTTGTTTTGTTGGGTGTTTTTTGGGCTTTTTAAGGAATAGGTTTTTCAGGGTTTATATTTTGTTCGTTTTGGTTGTCGGTGTTCCTGTTCTCCCAAGAGTCCTGCAAAATTTGAATGTTTGGGTTTTGCCTTTTTTCATCTTGTTTTTGTGGTTGTAGCATTTCTGGCCTGATTGCCAAAACCCAAAAACGCAGCGGCTGAGAAACCGCCGTGAACCCCCTAAACCCTAAGGCCTGAAGCCTTCCTTCCTGGGTTGAAGCCGGGGAAAGCCCTCAAGGCTTGAAGCCTTCAGGGTCTGAAACCTTTAGTTTTTCATAACCAGTAGCTACGCGAATGTGCGCGTTTGCAAGAGTCGTGTTCTGTGTGTCCTGAAGTGTGGGCACGGCAGCGATCAACATAAGACACGGATCCCTTACTACCCCCTCAGTACCTCCCACGTTAACTCAACCCCATAAGCACTGTAGGCCCTATAGGATCCACAAGCCCGGCATTGCCTTAAATCTTGCAAACCCCACAAACCCTACAAGCCCCCTCTATACCCTGTGAACTCTACAAAGCCCCTGCCTACAAGGCATATCCCCAAAGGTTCATGGAATCCCAAATGCTCCCAAACTCGTCTTGAGTGTTGATGAGGCACACGGCACACCGCCCTACTTGGGGTTCAAGGTTCAAGGTTTAGGGTTTAGGGCTTAGGGTTTAGGGCTTAGGGTTTAGGGACCTTCATAAAAAGAACCATAAAGTTCAAGCCTTAAGCCTGAAAGATTTGGCAAGGCTGGGTCTGGCACGCGCAGATCCTGGCCTTGGGCATCTTCTGCACTTGCCTTGGCTGCCTTCTTTGCCACCTTACCCGGCCCGCGCCGTTCAGGACCAGAGCATCGGCATTAAGCAACTTTTGTCAGGATTGTGCCCTCAAAGCATCTTCAGGCGCACGCTGTGGTTAAGGGATCTTGGGGTCTCAAAATGTAGGCCCTGCACCCTAAGCCCTCAACTCCATCTGGGCACAACCCCTTGCGTGCTAACATGCTTTCCGTGGCTTTGCCCGGGCATTGAGTGGCTGAGTTCTGAGTTTCACCCAAAGCCCATCAGTGGACAGGTTTTTCGGGCTTAAGGTTTAGGGTTTCGTTTTTAGGGTCTATGGTTAGCTTATCAAGCAAACCATAATGTACTTATCCGCAAGGATTAACATGAGTAGTACAAAAGGATCACAATATTTCTTGTGTTAGCAAAACTTTGTTATGGATGGGTAATGATACTCATGATGAAAAAGGGTTTTACGTACATCAGAGGTAGCGGCGGTAGCAGAAACAGTAGGACAACTCCTAAGCACCAAACAAGGTATCCCTCCAGTTTTTGCTTTTTCCGGAATGCACAGGTATCGTGCATTTTGTGTTCGCAAAACGTTCGCACGCGTTCGCAAGCGTCCGAAAGCGTCCGCGGTGGCACGAATCGAGCTGTACTTTGTGGAGTCCAACGATTTGGCGCGCGTTTTGTCGCTTAGGCCTCTGAGGGTTTTTAGGGGTGCATCGTCTTCGTGACTGTCGTCACTTGTCGACTACGGTTGCTCGAAACGTGCACACAGTCACGAGGATGATGCACCTGTCCTTTTAAGCTTCAGCCACGAGGATGAGGCACCTGGGGTTGCGCCTCGTAACTGTCGTCACTTTTAGGGTCTGTTTGTGGTTCGCATCTCAAAATGCAGACCGTCACGAGAATGAGGCCCGTGGTTGGCGCCATCCTCTTGCGGTTGTTTTTGCTTTCGCGTCTTCGGTGAATATACATGGTCTATGCAGTTGCTTTGCTTTTTGGTGCATCTTCGCTTACTGTGTGCGGCTGTTCTGCCTATTGGTGCGCCTTCGCTTTGCTTGCTGGCGTGTCTTCACTTCCTGTGCGGTTGTTTTGCTTAGTGGTGCGTCTTGCTTACTGTTACTATATGATCTATATGCAGGTGTTTTGCTTATTGGTGCGTCTTCGGGTACTATGTGCGGTTGTTCTGCTTAATGGGGTGTCTTCGCTTTGATTACTGTTTTGTCTTCACTTGCTCTGCGTTTGTTTGCTTGTTGGCGCGTCTTCGTGCACTATTTGCAGTTGTTTTGCATAGTGGTGCGTCTTTGCTCTATATGCACTTGTTTTGCTTATTGTCGTCGCTTGTAATATGCGCGGTTGTTCTGCTTATTGTTGCGCCTTCGCTTACTATATGATCTTTCTGCAGTTGTTGCTTACTGGTATGTCTTCACTTACTGTACGGTTGTTTTGCTTGTTGGCACGTCTTCGCTCTCTATATGCAGTTGTTTTGGTTAGTGGTATGTCTTCGCTCTATATGCTCTTGTTCTGCTTTTTGGCGCACTTCTCTTTTGACATGTGCGGTTGTTTTGGCTGGCCGGTGCGTCTTCGGCTACTATACACGAGCTTATTGGTGCGTCTTCGCTTGCTTTGTGAGGTTGTTCTGCTCATTGGTGTGTCTTGCCTTTGCATACTGGTGTGTCTTCGCTTACTGTGTGGTTGTTTTGCTTTGTGGCGTGTCTTCGTTCACTATATGCAACTGTTTTGCTAAGTGGTGCGGTGGGTGGGAACAGGACACAATAGGATATTCCGGTCAATGCCACAGCCGATGTTCTTGTTTCCCGCTGCTTCTGTAGAAAATTCACGATGAAGCTTCGCAGCCTGTAGCAACAGACAAACCCTAAACCCTAAACCCTAAACCCTAAACCCTAAACCCTAAACCCTAAACCCTAAACCCTAAACCCTAAACCCTAAACCCTAAACCCTAAACCCTAAACCCTCAACCCTCAACCCTCAACCCTCAACCCTCAACCCTAAACCCTAAACCCTAAACCCTAAACCCTAAACCCCAAACCCTGCACCCTAAACCCTAAACCCTAACCCCTAAACCCTAAACCCGAAAACCCTAACCCCTAAACCCTAAACCCTTGTTTAGGGCTCCAGCAGGGCTAGCTGTTTTGTTGCAGGACAAGCGGAAGTCTACGGAGAAACAGGAGAAACAGTCTCCTCGCCTTGAGTCATCTAAGGAGTGGAAGTTTAGGGTTTAGGGTTTAGGGTTTAGAGGAAGACTGGCAGACTAGACACATCATTGAGGTGTGTGCACCTGCGTCCCTCTTTATGTAGGGTACCTAGGTTCTTCCGTTTTTCGTAGCAGAAGGCCAGGGTATTTGACTTTAGCTATCTTGTATACGTAGGTTTCTTCAAATACAGGGGTTTGTTTTGGGTACATGTTGACAAGACGTGAAAACGATAAATGGGTTTTTGGATCAAGGGCTGGACTTACGGCCTTGGGATTAGTTCGGCGCGCTCGGTTCCCTCAGAACGGAACGAACCAGCAAAGCCAACAAGCTTCGAGCTTTTCACGAGGGATGCTGCCAGGTCCCGACGTTCCCGACGGCGAGTGGTATGACTACGACATGGTGCAAGTTGTATTTGAGCAGATGCTGGAGCTGAAGAAGCTCCAGATGCAATGCGAGGACAAGGAAATCAACGAACCTGTATCCTTTTTGGGAATCATTTTTTTTCAAAATTTTTGTTTGTATAAAACCCAAGAGGATATTAAACAGACTGTTTTTATTAAGGTTCTAAGGGGACTCTAGGAACAAGTGAGCGAAGACGAGGGCGAGGACAAGTCTGGCCCCCCCAGCCCGCAGCTGCAGCGACACAGCGGCAGGATGTGCGATTGATTGGACGCCACGCTTGGAAATCAACGTTCGACATAGCACATGGTTCCATACTGTTCTATACTGTTCTATAGGGTTCTATAATGTTGTAGAATGTTGTATCATGTTCTATAATCTTCTATAAGGTTCTATAATGTTCTACAATGTTCTGGAATGTTCTATAATGTTCTACTTGAGTCTGATGGAAGACTGAAGCTGCGGACCTGCGCGTCCATGGTGGACACAGGCACTGGCAAGTTGCCAGTTTCGTGCATTTTTGAGGAGAGGAAATCCATTCGTCTCCGTGGCCAAGGGTTTTGAGCAACACAGAAAAGAAGGGTGTTTCCAGAGATGTAACTTAACTGAGATCCAAATGGGGTTTTGTGACCCAAATCCAGCTGGACTGCCAGCACAAGCCAGGCTAGTAGAGGGCGTCGTCCCCGCGTTGCCGAGAATTTCAATGAGTAGTAGAAGATGCACCCCGCTAAACATAGTAGCACATCTCAGCACATAGAGCAGCTGTAGTACATGTAGTACAGGCGGCAGGAACCGCTGGAAGTCACTGAGGATGACGGTGGCCACGCTTTTTTTGGATTGTCCTATGCTCACGTCACGATGCATGAAGGCAGCGTGAGAGCGAGTCTTTGCGCGCGTCACGGTGCAACAATGCAGCGTGGAAGCGGCAGCGTGTATGATCTGCACTGGCATGTCTGCCGTGCCGAAAGTACTCCGACTCCTAAACAGTGTGCTTGAAGTGCGACATACACTCAAAGCTTTCTGAGACTTAGCTGCATGTTTGTATGCTATACTTTCGGCATAAATGCTGGCATTCGCCAGCGAATCGCGTGCCAGTCGATGCATGGATAATAGCTATTCGTCTGCGTGGCCTTAACCGAAGCTTCCAATCAGGACAAGTGTAAGCCTAATTTCCTAAACCCGACATCCTTGACCTGTTAGATAGAGATGATAATGCAGTGATGGTGTAGGGCTGTGAAGTTCAGGTGCCGGATCAAAGCCGCACTCCTGAAATTGTTAATGGATCCTATGCTCAGTGCCGACTCGTTGCAGTTGGAAAAATGTCGCCAAAGGTTTGTGCGCGTCCGCGTGTCGTCGCATCCACGCGTCCGTGTGGGTGTCTGCGCATGCGCGTCTGCGTGTGCGAGCGTCCTCTCGTGCGAAACCCTGCAGCTATATAGCGTGCATGAGGTGGCAACTACTAGGGGGCTAGATTTAACATGTTGACTATGAGGATTCATTGTAGCTTCTTCCCTGGTTCCTGTAGGCTGTCATCTGGATAGCCTGCGGCTTCTGGATGAAACAGGAGCAGGTGACGTCTGGGTAAACATTGGATAAAAAGTGTGTATGGCCAAGCATCTGTGTGCATGTGCATCTTGGTATGGAGAAACGTAGTGAGGGACATTTAGAACGCCTTCCGGCAACTGTGGCTGATCAAACCCCTGGGTTGAGGTAACGACATGTGAAGACAGGAGCAGGAATGATGGAGAATGTTTGGGCGTTAGAACTGAGGACTTAGACCCTATAAAGCCCATGATTTTCTGCAAAGACCTTTTCAACGTAACCCGGTAGACCCCCCCCCTTCCCCAACAAACACTTGGGTCATGATCCCAAAACGGTTGAAGTCTGGTGAGCTAGGATGCTCCCCGATAACCCCTTAAACTCTTAAACCCTTAAACCTTTGAACCCTTACATCCTTAGACCCTTACACCCTTCAAACCCATAAAATCCTTAAAACCCTTAAAGCCCTTCAACCCCTTAAAACCCTTTAAGCCCTCAAAGCCCTTAAACCCTTACACCCCTAAACCCTTAAACCAAGGAATGCTTGAACCCTGGTTACAAACCCCAAGCCCCAAAATCCCCTACCCCCTAGAAACCTAATCCTCAAACCCTAAACCCGAAACCCTAAACCCTAAACCCTAAAGTCCTGCTGAGGGCTCGCTCCCAACACTTGAGAGCCCGAAGCTGTCCGAGCTTCGCGAGCGACCTGAGAGCACTGAACGTGCAGCACAGCCAAAGCTGGGGCTGCTGTAAACCCTAAACCCTAAACCCTAAACCCTAAACCCTAAACCCTAAACCCTAAACCCTAAACCCTTAAACCCAGGTAAGGCCGACACTGGCCATCAAGGCGTTCGAGCATTTGAGTGTCAAAGGTAAAGACCCGTAACCCAAAACAATTTGCCGGTGCACCCTGCCCCCCCCCCCCCCCCCCCCCCCGAACCCTTTTTTAAACTACTCCCAGACCGTTTCTAAGCTTTTTTCGGTCTTCTCCCAGACCTATTCGGGCCACTCCCAGGCCATTTCTGAGCTTATGTGGGCTACTATTTCGGAGCCTTGTTGGCTTCTCCCAGACCTCTTCTGAGTTTTTTTGGCCGTTTTGGGCTTCTCCCAAACCTTTTGGGGTTTCTCCAAGACCATCTCACTTCTCCCAAACCAGCTTTTTGGGCTTCTCCCAGACCATTTCGGAGCTTTGCCGGGCTCGTTTCTGCGCTGGCCCGCGGTACCCCAAGCCCAAACCGGTTTGTGTCGACGGTAACCGCTACGGCCGACGAGGGATGCCAAACGGTCGGGACGTTGGCCCGGTCGAGGGGCAGTGGCACCCCCACGGTAACCCAAACCAATATGTGAGACAAACAAGCACGCCCCGATTTTGATGATTCAGGGCTCCCCCCCACGACCTTTTCACAGGCTAGTTTTGGTGAAGGAAGCGCTGCCAAAACTCCAACTCTTTGCATCTCTTTGCAGCCCTGCCCGCGCAAGGCTCAGATCGGGACAGGGCTGAAACAGCGTGTGCAGTAGCGTGTGCAGTGCTACATGCCCCCGCTGGAAACAACAAAACCAGAAGTTAGGAACTAAACCCGGAAAAACAAATCTGCAGGGTGGCTTCGGGTGAGCTTACCGCCACGCGATGTTGCGAGCGACCCGGGCAGAGGGGCCGGTTAGAAATAATAAGGTGAGGGCCCGGAGCCCAGCGAGCAACCCAGAAAGTACCCTAAACCCTAAACCTTAAACCTTAAACCCTAAACCCTAAACCCTGCGCCCTAAACCCTAAACCCTAAACCCTATAAACCCTAAACTGGGCTGTGCGTTTGACAGATGCCGGCTGCGGCCTCCAATGAGGTGAGGAAAGGTGAGGGAGGTGAGTCGGGTTGATAGGGTTTAGGGTTTAGGGTTTAGGGTTAGGGGTTTAGGGCTTGGGGTTTAGGGTTTAGGGTTTGGTTTAGGATTTAACCTTTAAGCGCTTTCTGCCACTTGCCACTTGCCACTTGCCACTTGCCACTTGCCACTTGCCACTTGCCACTTGCCACTTGCCACTTGCCACTTGCCACTTGCCACTTGCCACTTGCCCCATTTTCCCCACTTGCCCCCTGGCCCTAGCCACAAGTCTGCCTCAAAGACAGCCCGGTTTGAGGCAGACTGGCGGTTGGGTCAGGGCCTGCTCCTCTTGCCGATAAAGCCATGGCAGCTATTTGGCATTGCCTTGATTCTTGGCGGTTCCCTGGTTGATTGGGGGGTTCTGTAGCACCCCTCTAAGTAGCTTGCTGTTCTGGTTCTTCCAGTTTTTTTGAGAACCGAAAAGAATCTATACCCTAAACCCCAGACCGCAACCCTAAACCCCGGAGTGGGGCAAGTGGGGCAAGTGTGGCAAGAGGGGCAATATCATCTTCCATTAAGGGACCAGAGCGAGTGGGCATGTGTCAGAAAGCAGTTGCTGCACGTCTACTGTTCATGCAGCAGCATACATCCCAAACCCTAAGCCCCACACGCAGGCCTCACACCATCCTGCACATATCAAGGGCTTGGGGCTTAGGGTTTTGGTCCAGCCCCGAGGCCTTAAACCCCGAACCCAAATTCGTAAACCCTAAACACCGGGTCCCCGCACATTGCTTGCTGCAGCCATCCCTTCAGTAACGCAGTGCGGTAGCCTCCGCTTTGCGATGGCCGCCCTTGCCAAGGCAATTTCTTGAGTTGCTTCAGGGTGCCTGGGTCCCACCGCCTGTGGGTTTAGGACTTAGGGTTTTGGGTTTCGGGTTTGGGACCCCCATCCCCTCCCTCAAGCCCCTCAAAACCTTAGAGCCTTTTGTTCTTTGTACTGCCGAGTTCAACGCCCTGACCCGCAGCCCCTCATCCTCCAACCTCCTTGTGGAGCCTGTTGCTTTTTCAGAGCAATAGGGAACCAAAGGAATCCGCATTTCTGCACCGTAAGTTCTGCCCAGACCCCTCATGAGGAACCAGCAACCCCAAATTTTTGGGGTTTAGGTTTTAGGGGGCTTTTCAAGGATACGCCTGAGAGCCCACCGCCAGATCCTGGTCCTCCTGTTGACGGCCGCTGCAGCCGTCCAGAAAGAGGAGCTTGGGCCCTTGCCGCGATTGGACTTCGAGTTAGAGTTTAGGAACCCTAAACCCTAAACCCTAAACCCTAAACCCTAAACCCCAAAACCCCAAACCCTAGACCCTAAACCCTAAACCCTAAACCCCAAAACCCCAAACCCTAGACCCTAAACCCTAGACCCTAAACCCTGATGAAAAGGATTTTCGGCCCAAAGACCTTTTGCAATTTGGAGCCCAAGGGATGGGGTTGGCATGTTTTTTTTTTTTTTTTCTTTTTTCTCTTCCTTAAAATCAAAAGGGGAGATGAGCATATATACCAAATAGTAGGAGGCCTCAAGCAGTCCGTTTCGCTTGGGTTGAGCATCCAAGGCATTTCGGGTTTGGGGTTTGGGGTTTAGGGTTTAGGCGTTCAGGTTTTCCGACTCCCAGCACGTTCTGCAACAACCCCGAATCCCAGACTTAGAATGACCTTTCACATGGAAGCCTTCAGCCCCCTAAACCCTAAACCCTAAAGCCTAAACCCTAAACCCCAAACCCTAAACCCTGAACCCTAAACCCTGAACCCTGAACCCTGATCAAGTGTAAGTGGGTAAAGATGAGTCCTTGCTACCCATAGCCCCAGACCCTTTTGAACAGCCCTGGTATAGGGGTTCCCATATAAACCCCTAAACCCTAAACCCCAAAACCCTAACCCGAAACCCGAAACACCCCCAAGGAACCAAACCGGCGAGCCTTTTGATTCACAGTTGCTCTGGGACCTGAGTGCCAGTGGCTGCGGATCATTGACTGAATCACCTAAACCCTAAACCCTAAACCCTAAACCCTAAACCCTAAACCCTAAACCCTAAACCCTAAACCCTAAACCCTAAACCCTAAACCCTAAACCCTAAACCCTAAACCCTAAACCCTAAACCCTAAACTCATTTAAGACCTGATTCTTTGCGGGCTGCACTAAACCCTCAACCCGCAGCCGCCGTGCACCACTAAGGCCAGAAAAGCGGTCATCCCTGGACTCCAAGGCAGCCACACACCCTACTCGGTTCTATGAACCAATAGGGTTTAGGGTTTAGGGTTTAGGGTTTAGGGTTTAGAGGTCGGTACCACGATGGGCGGGACCCTGAAACCCCAACGTTTTGGGAGGTAACGGCCGGAAAAAGTTTTTGGGAGTAGGCAATCGACTTGAGTTTAGGCCCACCACCTACATGGAATAGGTTAGGGCCGATTAGGGTGGTTTGGACGGGTGGGAGAAAGGTGTTAGATGGCCCTCCGCAATCTTGCCAGAGCTGCTCTTCGCACCTCAGGTTCCACCCTCGTCTGCATCCCAACCTTCACAGCATCTGCGCCATACTGCAGCAAACCCTAAACCCTTAAACCCGAAATCCCTTCAACCCGAAACCCGTAAAACCCTCAGCCCTAAACAGCTGGTCAGCTCGCTTCTTTCTTGCAGCATGCCGTCCAAGTTTCGCCGGAAGTGAGAGTGCCCAGACATTGAGGCCCTGAGCCCTAGACCCTCAAACCGTGTAGAGCTTGCTTGCAGGGTTAATAGGGTTCAGGCCTTAAAACATCCTAAAATTTAAGCCCTAAACCTTAGGGGATGCGACCCTCCCTGTGGCAGGCGGGCAGCAACAAAATCACGCCCTTCGGTCGGGACTGCCCTGCCCGTGTAGGTTAGCCTGCCCCATGAGGCCTAGCAGGTTCTGCAACATACGGTTTAGGGTTTAGGGTGTTCTGGGGGCGGAGTTTGTGTTCGACCTGCTGTTCGAATGAGGGCTGCTGACTTGTGCGGTTTCGGTCTGCAGGTCTATCGAGACCTTCAAACTTCAAATTGCAATGAATGAATCACAGCAGCCTATATTTATGTGTATGTATTTATGTATATATGTATATATGTATATATGTATATATGTATATATGTATATATGTATATATGTATATATGTATATATGTATATATGTATATATGTATATATGTATATATGTATATATGTATATATGTATATATGTATATATGTATACATGTATACATGTATACATGTTTACATGTATACATGTATACATGTATACATGTATACATGTATACATGTACACAGGTCAGCTCAAGCGTGGGGTAGCGCCAAGGTCTGGCAGTGAGCGGGAAATCCAAGCCATACTTGATGCTCTACTTGAGTAGGGTCATTCCCAATCTTTAATCAGTGAGCGCAGTCACAGCACTGCATTTTGACACATAGGCAGGCCCTCGTATGCGAGGCGCAGTGCTGCATCAACGCTCTGTTGGGCATTGCGTTTGGCATTTTGAGGCCGTGCTCGTGCAAGCCGCGCATGTGGTGCGAGACAGCAGCACCAGCATTACAAATTCTACTCGGGGCAAGGACCCTCCGCTCGCCCGTGGAGCCAACACTTCAGAGAGGCGGTGAATGAATATGTATATATGTATATATGTATATATGTATATATGTATATATGTATATATGTATATATGTATATATGTATATATGTATATATGTATATATGTATATATGTATATATGTATATATATATGTATATATGTATATATTATATATGTATATGTATATATATTATATGTATATATGTATATATGTATATATGTATACATGTATACATGATACATGTATACATGTACATGTATTGGTACACATACACATGTATACATGTATACATGTATAATATATACATGTATACATGTATGTATACATGTACATACACACGTTACATGTATACATGTATACATGTATACATGTATACATGTATAGATGTATAGATGTATAGGTGTATAGATGTATAGATGTATAGATGTATAGATGTATAGATGTTTTGATGTATAGATGTTTTGATGTATAGATGTATAGATGTGTAGATGTATAGATGTATAGATGTATACATGTATAGATGTATAGATGTATAGATGCATAGATGTACCCATGTATAAATGTATCGATGTTTCGATGTATCGATGTATCGACGTATAGATGTATAGATGTGTATATCTATGTATGTATGTATGTATGTATGTATGTATGTATGTATGTATGTATGTATGTATGTATACACTTACATACATGTGTATATATATATATATATATACACCTGAAAGTTGGAGGCTACCAGGGCCCACGTTTCGACATGGGAGACCTGCAAGCTCCAGACAACAAGGGTTCAGGGTTTCGGATTTAGAGACGCCAGGATTTAGGTGAGTTCCCGAGAGCATCATGCCCTCGACCTCGGGCCTAGACCCTGAGCCCTAAACGCGAAACCTTGGACCTGAGACCCTGATGATCCCTCAGAGCGCCCTACACCCTAAACCCCACACCCCAAATCCAAACCCTAAACCCTAAACCCTAAGCCCTAAGCCCTAAACCCTAAACCCTAAACCCTAAACCCTAAACCCTAAACCCTAAACCCTAAACCCTAAACCCTAAACCCCTTGAACCCGGAAGCAGACGTGGTGCCTGGAGTCCTTCCGTTGGATTGACGGGGGGCAGGAAAACACGGCGGGCGAGCTGCAGGACATCGCGGCGAAGTCCCAGGCTCGGGCTATAGTGTTGTACTCAAGATCTGGCTTCCTTCAGTTTTTGACAGCAACCTGGCTCCCGAGATGTTTGAGAGGGGTTTGTTTAAGGTTGAACGTCCGTGATACCGCCCATAAGCTCTCACACTGCACATGGTAATGGCCTGTATACCCTTTGTCTGGGGGCTATATGCGATTATTCTGGGTACTTCAACGGCAGGTATTCATAGCAATCCCTGAATCCAGTGGCAGCAGTATTCCATCTTACCTCTTTTAGGGTTTAGGGTTTAGGGGTCCCCTTACAAAAACCCTACACCCCAGACCCTAAACCGTAAACCGTAAACCCTAAACCCTAAACCTTACACCCGAAAACTTAGGGCTTTTGGGGTTGAGGGTTTACTCAGCCACTCGACCAGGACACCTTGGTGGATGCCGTTGAGACAGCAGAGGCCCCTGACTATATCCCCATTGGGGATCATTTTCTACTTTTGTTTATCTAAAACCCAAGAGGATATTAAACATATCATTCTTATTCAGGTTCTAAGGGGAGTATAGGTGAAGTATAGGGTTCAGGGTTTGGGGTTTATGGTTTCGGGCTTGGGGTTTAGGTTTTCGGGGTCCTGTGCAGCATTCTAAGTGCTTTGCAGTGCATTGGGGCCTGAGGGGTTGAGTTCAGGTCTGGGACGGTCTGAGCTGGTTTAGGGTTCGAGGTGTGGGCGGTGTAGGGTTGCGACGCAGCTTGGAGGTCCAGAGGCTCCCTAACTTCAAGCTGGGGTCACACTTGCAGCTGCCATGACTCCCAGAAATCCCAAGTTCCTGAAGCCCCAAACCCCAAACCCTAAACCCTAAACCCTAAACCCTAAACCCTAAACCCTAAACCCTAAACCCTAAACCCTAAACTCTAGACCCCTTGAGTGGGGAGGAATATTTGTTGTAGGGGCTGCTGAGCCCTCCGATCCCCAAGGCTTGCTTAACTAAGCCAGCACATGTATGGAGTTTCCTTGGAGCCCTCTTCAGGGAGGTCCTGAACTTGCATACTTCGAACCCTAAACCCAGGAACCTGAAAGTATCACCCTCAACCCCAACCTAAACCCATCATGAAGCACCGACCCCTAACCCAAACCCTAAACCCTCAAGCCCAAACCCTAAACTCTAAACCCTTAACCCTAAACCCACGCAGTCTCTTTCTCTCAAGACGCTGTGAGCTACTCGCTTCTGTTGTGGGACTGCGGCCAAACCGGGTCATGTTTCTCTCGTCGGCCTTCACCCAACTTCCGAATCATGGCAGATGCTTAAGGTTTATGGTTTACTGTGCTTCAACCCTGAACCTAAACCCAAAACCCTTTAGTACCCTAAACACTAAACCCTGGAAAAGCCCAGACCCCAAGCTTGAAACCCTGAGCCTTCCGACCTCCTCAACGTGTAGCTTCAGATTTCAGGTTCAAGTCAGACTTCCGGGGTAGGGTTTAGAGCGTCAGGGATGGGGATTCAGAGGTTGGAGTGTCACACGTGACACAAACAAGGGAGTTCTTAAGTATCCCTCTGCAGTCGAGACATGTGGTAGTCTGACATGACAGTCACAGGCTCCACAAGTTGGGAGGCTGTGAGAACCCAAGGATTCTTAATTTGACTGGTTTGAAGAGCATAACTTGTGCATTTTCCAGCTGCGCTCTTGCAGCTAGTTGCACTCAATGGCCCAACTGCGCACTGGCACATCGTCAAGAGTCATTCGTCTGAGATGTCATTGTAGAAGTGATCCCTTGCATCTGAGAGAGGATGCTTATCGTGAAGGAAGCTTATGTTGGTGGTTAGCCAGAAGATGCTGAAGTTGTGCATAGGTTCCACAGGATGCTATAAGTGGTGGAAGGATGGACCCCTAGAAGGGACCCTTAAGTCATATTCCCCTATACAACCCTCTATATATATATATATCCTCTATATATATATGTATATATATATATATACACCTTATAGAGTCCCTATATGCCTCAGTATCCTCTGAATCGCCCCTAAATAACCCCAAGGTCCTTTATCAGGGTCCCTCCTTCAGTCCCTTGAATGTTTTTGTAGCTCAAACAGGTCCGAAACGCTGTCCTTTGAGGCGTCTGGGGAGGGAACCCAAAGACAATACAGTAATTGAACGCTAAGCCCTGAAACGCCCAAAGCGAAGTGTTAAGGGTTTAGGGTTTGCATGTATAAAACATCATGCGCGATTTAGGAGAGAGGTCAGGGCTTCAGGGACAAAGGGGTTTTTCAGTCCTCGCGTGACTCGAGCAGTTACGACGCAATGATGTTGGCGAGGATTGGAGAGGATACAGCCCGCTTTCAGCAAACGATGCTTGCATCTGGTCTGCAACAGGCTCTCGTGCGTTGGCCACCTGGAGCCCAAGAGGGTTTAGGGTTTTAGGGTTTGGGGAGCCCCTAAACTCAAGGGCTGATCGGTTGGTACGGTAGGCTTTAGGTTTCTGGAGTTCTGGTTAGGGTTTAGTCAGGGTTTATCTGCGAGAGCGTTTTTTGCCATAAGCCCTCTATATAATTTGTTTCTACGGCCCTTGGTATGCTTGTTTCAGGCAGAGGTTACGGAATTTGGGTATGGCCATAGACACACAACACAGACCCTGAAGCATACCATTCACGGATCCAAATGCCTTAGCCCGCAACTTCGTCTCCCAGGCGGGCGTGGCGAAGAACACTTTGCCCAGACCTTTAGTGCTGCAGCACACCGCACCCGAAGCTGTCGTGCAGGCCCTTGGGAGGTGTAGGGGCCCTCCGCCCCAAGTGGTACTCCCAGAGCTGAGCCGTAAACTTCCAGAGGAGTCGGAATGCCTCGTCCCTCAGATGCGTCGCGCAGGCTGAGAAGGTGCAGAACACGGTGCCCGAAGCTGTCCTGCAGGCCTTTGGGAGGTGTAGCGTACCTATAGCCGAATTCTTAAGCCAAGACCTATGGTGGTTTTGGGTTTGGGGGGTTTGTGGTCTTGAGGGGTTGAGGACTGTAAAGGTTTTGGGCTTTGGGTGTGAACTGATCTAACCTACGTACGCCTGCTTGCCGTAAAGCCGGATGCAGCTCGAGCCTCAAGTACACATTCAAAACATCCATAAGGCCCTGAACCCAAAACCCAGAGCCTGAACCCCTAAACTTTAGACCGCAAAACCCCAAACCTTAGACCTTAACTCTTGAACCTTTCAGACCAATAACGCCTATTAGCACTGAAATCCTCTATAGCCCATGCCGCGAACCCTTAACTAAAGTCCACCCAACCTGAATCCAGAGGCGTGCGTGCGCCTCTGCGAAGATGTAGAGCTTCTCGCCCGGCTGAATCTTGGCGGGCTCGTGCTCGTGCTCTTTTAAAAGTTTTAGGGAGGTGTCTGAAGGGTTCAGGGGCTTATGTAGCTCCCAGCCAAACCGGGCAAACCGGGCAAGCCGGGCTGCCCGGTACCCGGGCTAGTCCCATCCTAGGTCGTAGGTGGGTTATTCAAAGAGTTTTCTTGTCGGTTCTCTAGACCTTCAGTACTACTCTGTAGATAAGTCTTCTCAGCCCTCGTAACCCCTGAAGCATTGAGTCTGCTTTTGAGAAAACACCAAGGAGCCAGCTTTGCAAAGCTATGTGGCAGGCTGCCAAGTTTTGGGACACAACACACACATAGATAGATAGATAGATAGATAGATAGATAGATAGATAGATAGATAGATAGATAGATATATACATATATATATATAAGGTTGATATTCTATTCGGAGACTATATTCGGGAATATTTTGTATTTTGGGTCCCGTGTTTTGTCGTAAGTTTGGCGTGGCGTCCGAGGTTGCGTGGTGGTCTCCTGGTCAGGTGGCCCCCTAGTCCTCTGGTCGTGTGGTTCCCCTGCAATCTCTTGGTCCTCTGGCCCGCGCTATTCTGGGCCGTGCAACCTTGTTTGAGGGAATCTCATGATTCCATCCAGAGCAACTGCTTGAACACCCAGCAAAATCTTTTCCGTTCCCGTCATGCGAACATTGTCTATGCGCAGGGGGGGGGGGGGCCCGACCCCCCTGCGGCTTTTAAGCCGCGCAAGTGACAAAAGCATTAAATGGCATCGTGGCTGCAAGGTTCATTCTTAGGGCCGTTTACCACCAATTGACCTTATAAGGGTAACATGGGGATTTTTGTTTTTCGTTGTTTTTGGGTTCTTAAGCAAGTAGCAGTTTGAGGTTGAGGGTTGGGTTTCAAGCTTTGTGTTTGGGTTTTGGCATGCGCGTAGTGAAGTATTAGGCCCCGAGCCCTTCGTCACACCAGTCAGGCCAGCAGGGCCTAGGCCGTCGTAGGGTTTAGGGTTTAGGGTTTAGGGTTTAGGGTTTAGGGTTTAGGGTTTTGGCCGCAGGTCATTTCCAACCCCCACTTCTTGGAAGAGCTGCGTGCGCACCTTTGCTTGGATTCAGGGTTCGAGTTTGGGGTCTTGGTGCTGAAGGTTGTTGCTGTGAAGGGTTCGAGGGGCCGGTTGTTCCCGAAAGCGTTGCCAAACGTTTTCAGGCAAGTGCGTTTCTTCTCCTGGGATCCCTTCACCCTTCATTTTTTCAGGACTGCGTTTCATAATTTTCTTTTCTCTCAACAAAATAAAATGTACTCCAAGAGCGCTCCAAGAGCGCTCCAAGATGACCCGTAAAGACCTCCAAGATCTGAAGAGGGTGCAACATTGTGCTGTCTACTTTGTGTATGTATACATGTCTATATGCATAAGATATGTATATATATTTCTCTGTATAAGTATATATGTATGTATGTACGTTCTAAATAGTTGATAAACTCTTTTTGTTTAGCTTGTGTTTTCAAACTCTGTTCAGTTTTACGCCTTCAGGGTTCGCCTACAACCCTCGTAAACTCACAAGGGGTTCGTTTCCTAGAGGTCAGTGACTCACTTGGGGTTGAGGGCCGAATAGGGCTTGGTCTGAGCCCTAGACCCTAAACCCTAAACCCTAAACCCTAAACCCTAAACCCTAAACCCTAAACCCTAAACCCTAAACCCTAAATCCTAAACCCTAAACCGCATTTCCTACATGTGGCCGAGGCAGATCGCCCTGACGCATTCTTGGTTGATGTTTGCGAGCCGGCGCGACCGGGCCTGTGTCAGCCTTGCCCTGCGCAAAGCGGTTAATTTTAGGGTTTAGGGTTTAGGGTTTAGGGTTTAGGGTTTAGGGTTTAGGGTTTGGGGCTTAGGTAGGGTTGAGGGCTTAGGGCTTAGGGCTTAGGGCTTAGGGCTTAGGGCTTAGGGCTTAGGGCTTAGGGCTTAGGGCTTAGGGCTTAGGGCTCAGGGCTTAGGGCTTAGGGCTTATAATGCGCCACAAGCACCTCGCCCCAGCATGAGCAGATAGATTCAAGGGCTTTGGGCTTGGAATTTCCGCAACAGCCGAACAGCCCGAAACCCTAAATCTGAAACCCTAAACCCTAACCCTAAATCTGAAACCCTAAACCCTAAGCCCTACACCCTAAACCCTAAACCCTGGTTGGTTGTTGGGTTTTGAGTAGGGTCTAGGGTTTAGGGTTCAGGGTTCAGGGTTTAAGGTTTAGGGTTTAGGGTCCCGTGGCAGCTCAAGCTCGAACCAAGAACGGGTTTCCCCTTTCTTCGTTCCTGGGTCTTAGAGTTTTAGGGGTTTAGGGTTTTGATTTTAGGTCCCAAGATCGTCATGTAAGCAACTTTCAGGGGTTCAGCGGGTTAACCGACTTTCAGGGCTACCCTAATCCCTAAACCCTAAACCCTAAACCCCAAACCCCAAACCGCAAACCCTAAACCCTAAACCCTAAACCCTAAACCCTAAACCCTAAACCCTAAACCCTAAACCCTAAACCCTAAACCCTAAACCCCAAACCCCAGACCCCAAACCCCAAACCCTAAACCTTATTCTAGCCGATTTGCGCAGCGTCAAACTCTCCCAGGGGGTTGGTTACTTGGCGGTTCATGGGTGCTTCTAACTCCAAACCCTAAACCCTAAACCCTAAACCCTACAGGGTGGGGCGCCCCAGTTATAAATTGATTTATAACCTCTATAATCAATTTATAATTTTCCTAACATAATTTATAAGTTGTTAAGTTCATGGTTTAGTCATAATTTTTTGTTCAAGATATAAGCTGGTTATAAGTCTTTACTGCCCATCTTATAAGTAACTTGTACAACTTAGCTCTAAAAAACCGTGTTTCATAAGATCCATGCTCGCGACTGTCAAATAGAGGATGTTGCAAGGTTCTAGGCTCGGAACGAATGTTTTTCAGGTTTTTCTTTTGTCGAGGAGTTTCCACAGCTGATGTTCCGGGCCGGGCCGTGTTTTGCGAAGCGTTTGGCTTGGCACGCATTCGGGTCACATTCGGACATGCACCGACACGTCGGGGACACATCCGGACACATCCGGACACACGGAGGACACATCGCGGACACATGGTGCCGAAGAGGGCGGACACACAGGAAAACACCGGACACAATCCAATAAGTGGGGCGGACACACCGGACACATCGCGGACACATCGGGTTTTCGACACACGCGGGGCACACGCGGACACATCCCCACATCCCAAGCGCATGCGCTGAACGTTTTGTGTCTTTGCCCGCATCCGATTTGTTTCCTGTCTCAGCCAGACAGCTTTCGTTTCTCCGCAACACCAACTTGCTTTGAGATGGCGTTGCAGGGCCAGGAGACGCCTCTTCTTGAAGAGCGCCCAAAAACCTCTCCTTTTAAGACATGGGCTTTGCATGATGACTTTTTACTAGAAAAACAACATTTTGTAACTTATAAATCAACTTATAAGTTGGCTAACTGAATTAGCAAACTTAGTGTATAAGTTGGTTATAAGTGCTCTAAGCTACATCTAAGTATCTTTACTTATTTATAACTAAGGGGCCCCGCCCTGTAAACCCTAAACCCTAAACCTTTCAACCCAAAAGTTCAGTCGCTTCAAGGTTTCTGGTTTTGGGATCTTAAGGCGAGTGGCTCGACCGGACTGACCTCGGCTTCACTACGCTGGCTTCAATATCTGGCTGGGTACGCCTCCAGTCGCCTGGCGCTTCGAATTTGCAGCTAGGAGATTTGTGTCAAACTCCAAGCTTTCAGAATCAGGTGTTTAGGTCGTACCCACAACGAACACGCAGACACAGACACAGACGCAGACGCAGACGCAGGCACAGGCACAGGCACAGGCACAGGCACAGACACAGGCACAGGCACAGGCACAGGCACACACACAGGCACCCAGGCAGGCACACAGGCACACAGGCACACAGGCACACAGGCACACAGGCACACAGGCACACAGGCACACAGGCACACAGGCGCACAGGCAAACAGGCGCACAGGCGCACAGGCGCACAGGCGCACAGGCGCACAGGCGCACAGGCGCACAGGCGCACAGGCGCACAGGCGCACAGGCGCACAGGCGCACAGGCGCACAGGCGCACAGGCGCACAGGCGCACAGGCGCACAGGCGCACAGGCGCACAGGTGCACAGGCGCACAGGCGCACAGGCGCACAGGCGCACAGGCGCACAGGCGCACAGGCGCACAGGCGCACAGGCGCACAGGCGCACAGGCGCACAGGCGCACAGGCGCACAGGCGCACAGGCAGGCACACAGGCAGGCACACAGGCAGGCACACAGGCACACAGGCACACAGGCACACAGGCACACAGGCACACAGGCACAGGATTGGGTTTGCGGTTCGGGTCTGGGTGGGGGGGTTGGGGGGGGGTGGGGCCAGCCTTGCGAGAAGCTGCCTGGGGGTGGCGGGTGGGGGGGGTAGGGGGGGGGGGGGGTAGGGGGGGGGGGAGGGTTTTTTCCAAAAGAGCCCCTATGGTCCATGAGTTTACGCCGTGTGGGTGGCCTGTTCCTCCACGGAAAAGCTGCCGGGGTACCCCCCCCCTACCCCGCCCCCCGTAAGGAGGGAAAGAGGGAGGTTTTCACCTCCAGAAACCCATCCAACACGCCGCCAGGGTCGGCGGACCCTAAACTGTAAACCCTAAACCCTAAACCCTAAACCCTAAACCCTAAACCCTAAACCCTAAACCCTAAACCCTAGACCCTAGACCCTAAACCCTAAACCCTACATCGCCCAAGGCATCTCAGCTCCTGTCCCCGACACACCCTTTCAGCCCTTACAGGCCCTACTGCATATGGGGGGTTCACGATAATTCAGGGGACCCCAATAGAGACCCCCAAATACTTAGGACCCCCCTTAAAAATCACGGACCCCAACAAGTTACCGTTTAGGGTATAGGGTTTAGGGTTTAGGGTTTAGGGTTTAGGGTTTAGGGTTTAGTATCGTATACCCCCACATAGGCCTTCGACCCTGGAAGCTTCACGTTCCACCCTCTTTCGTGTGCGGGGGCACCCCGGAGCACCCCTGCCCCCCCTGAACAGTCGAAACTAATCTTGTCACTCTTTCACGGTCCCGGATGAATCTGATTTTAAAGAAGGGATGAGTTTGTTTTATGCAATTGATGTTAAGGGCGCGCCACATAAAATATGCCTACGACACCTGCTCAATCCCAAACTTGAACGAACCCCTAAAGCCCAATCCCCACACCCCCGACCCGAAAACAAACACCAAGCCCAAGCAATCTTCAAACGCCAGTAACTAATCCCTCACGTCAAACTTAGATTGTGAGGACAGGGTCGCAGCATGTGAAAGATAAGAAGCTCCACTTCCATGTTGAGACCCCTTAAGGTTAGGAAGCCAGAGCCCTACGGCCTAAAACCCCAGACCAGCTGAGGCATGACCTGGAAGTCGATGCCAGACTCGCTAGATCCGACAACCAGGTCGCGCGGCCTTTCGGGTTCAGGGTGACGCGCGCACGGGGCGTTCAGCCCAAACCCAAGTGAACCACTTAAATCCTTAAAAGCATAAAGGGCTTATCCCTAAACGCCGACACCCCTACCGGGAACATGTGGGGGTTTGGAGCTTCGGGGCTTCGAGAGACTTAGTAGGAGTTAATGGGGTTTTGGGGTTTTACACGCACTGGCCCTAAAGCCTGGATTGCGTTGTTCAGTCTTACTGACTGTTCAAGGCGCCCCCCTAAACCCTAAACCCTAAACCCTAAACCCTAAACCCTAAACCCTAAACCCTAAACCCTAAACCCTAAACCCTAAACCCTAAACCTTAAACACTAAACCCTAAACCCTAAACCCTAAACCCTAAACCCTAAACCCTAAACCCTAAACCCTAAACCCTAAACCCTAAACTCCAAACCACCCTTTCCCTAAACCCTGCCCTGTCCCCCTCCACCAAAAGCGGCTTCAAGGAGAACCTCCGGGTACAAGGGGGGTGCAGCTCGACCTAGCCCTAAACCTTAAACCCTGACCCCTAAACGACCCTAAACCCTAAACTACCCTAAACCCTAGACTACCCCAAACCCTAAACCTAAACCTACCGCCATCCCAAGCCCTAAGCCATAAGCATCCACAAAACCCTACATCTGTTATGCACCAGACAACTTTAATGTTTGAACCTAACTCTTTTCACCGTGGACCCTGGCCCCTAAACTTTAGACCCTAAACCCTAGACCCTGAATCGAAGCCAGCCATCCTGAACCTAGAGGTGTGCGTGACAGCCTGCCTCCCTGTGCAGCTTCTTGCCATGAAGCGTTTTGAGGGCTCAGGGGCTCGGTTGAGGGGTGTGTCAGTGCTTGCGCGCTAAGGACCCCAACGCCAACAACACGCAATCCAAGAGAACTATCAATAATTCGAATGCATTTCGAGAAACAAGCGTGTACCTACGGGCAACCTCCCCCCTCCCTCTACACCTCAAACACACCCTGAGGACCTCTTGAAACCCGCGGCGCGGGGGGGGGGGGCGATTTGTGCACCCTTTCAGCTGTCGGTGCAAATTTTGGGGGGGGAGGGTAGAGGGGCGGGAGGTAAATCATAGAAATGTAAATAAACCCGAAATTCACTATTACTCAGGAACCGGCTGCTTCTCGAGGTCCAGAAGCCTTTCCCTGGGTAGAAGCGGGACTGGGCAGGTAGCCTTTAACCTTTTTGGTTATAAGGAATCCCTAAACCCTAAACCCTAAACCCTAAACCCTAAACCCTAAACCCTAAACCCTAAACCCTAAACCCTAAACCCTAAACCCTAAACCCTAAACCTTAAACCCCAAACCCTAAACCCTAAACCCTAAACCCTACCACGTATAAGGCTAACCTCTGTTTGGGCTAGGGCATTCAAGGCTTTGAAGCCGGATGCAGTCGTAGTGTGTCAACACACCCGCCGCCTAGCTGTAGGTGTTTATACGAAGCTGCGGCCAAAAGTCGCCCTTTTCCCCCTTCCCCTTGTCTATGCTTAGGTTCGCTTACAGAAACCCTAAACCCTAAACCCTAAACCCTAAACCCTAAACCCTAAACCCTAAACCCTAAACCCTAAACCCTAAACCTTAAACCCTAAACCCTAAACCCTAAACCCTAATCCCCTAAACCCTAAACCCTAAACCCTAAACCCCCAAACCCTAACCCTAAACCTTAAACCCTAAAACCCTAAACCCTAAACCCTAAACCCTAAACCCTAAGCCCTAAACCCTAAACCCTAAGCCCTAAACCCTAAACCCTAAACCCTAAACCCTAAACCCTAAACCCTAAACCGAACAGGGGGCTTCTGTGAGACCGGGTGCGCTTCATAAGTGCGGCCAAGGCAACCGGCCTCCACGCATCCTGGGGCGCGGCATGCAAGACTGTGCGACCGGGCCTTTACTGTTGGGTTTAGGGTTTAGGGTTTAGGGTTTAGGGATTAGGGTTTAGGGTTTAGGGTTTAGGGTTTAGGGTTTAGGATCCCTTACAAGCCCCAAGCCCTCAACTCATCCTGCTTGCAGAATTCACTGCAGACACTTCCCGCGCGATGTTTTGAGTTCATTGTTTTGGGTTGTTGGCGTGGCTGAAGGATTGGAGTTTACGAGCCGAAGACAGTCGGAGCCTGCGGAACAACCCCGGACCAGGAATTTGAATCCCCAATGCTCATCGAAGCCCACTTCCCTTATGAACACATTGAATTCAAGGGTTTCGGGTTTAGGGCTTAGGGTTTCGGGTTTAGGGTTTAGGGTTTACCCAAAACCCTGAACCTCAGGCCTCAGACTCTTGCTCTCGGCCAGGGTGTAGAGTTTTAGAAGGGTAGTTTCAGGAACCCATTGCAGTTTGGGATGCTCCCCCTTATACTAACAGTCCTTAGTAGGGGTTATAGTACCCTCGAATGTAATCCCTATTGAGGACTGTTAGATAAGGGGGAACATCCCAAAGCATATTATGTTGCTGTAGACCAAGAAAGGGTTTCCCGTTTTCTTAGGTTGTTGGGGAACCAAGTCCTTACGTCTAGAGTCTTAGATTATGGGGCTTTGGGGGTTTTATGTCATACCTCTTTTTTTGGGCGAATTAATAATGTACACGAATGGTTAATAATATCAATAACTTACAAGAATATACAATCATGTACAATAGTGCAAGAACAGAATAACAATATACAAGAATGAAATAATATGCAAGAATGGTGCATAATATGAATAACATACAAGAGTTTACAATCATGTACAATAGTGCAATAGTTGAATATAGCATAAAATGCTGTTTTTTTCATCATTTTGAGCCTGCAGGCAGGCACAAATGCTGGCGAAGGAACCCCAGATGAGGATTGAGGCCCAGAAGAGGCCCTCTCAGAGGAGGATTTCTGAATGTGTGGGGTTGTAACATAACTTTCTACTTACATTTTTGATAAGGATTTGAGGCCCAGAAGAGGAGCATCTTCGGGTGGGGCCTCTGAATATTCAATTCCAATTGGCAGAGTATAGTTTTTCAGGGTGCAGCCTTTTCATATGATCTTCCAATTAGATGAGAAGAGGGTTTAGGGTTTAGGGTTTAGGGTTCTTAGGGTGTGGTCTTCTCATTCAACGTTCGAGTTCCAATTATGTAAATTGCATGACCAACGCCAAAGTCCCAGAGGATATACTTTCAAGGTGTGGCCTCCGCACGCGGTTTTCATGGAGTTTTTGGGACTCACAAACACCGAACGAGGCTCTGAACCACTCTCTCTTCAGACCCACCGCAGGAGATCATGGGGGGGCGGGGGGGGGCGGGGAGGGAGCATATACAAATGTGTGTGTATATATATATATATGTATATCTATATATATATATACACATGTACACAGAGTGTTTTTGTTGTTTTGTTCTCCGTCTCGCTGCTGGTCACCCCACACCCGGACGCGAAAGCTAAAACCCTCAACCCCGCAAACGGTATCTCAGCTTTATAGGGTTTATTAGGGTCTAGGGTTTAGGGTTTAGGGTATACATTAAGTCCTATAGGACCTTCCGGCTCAGCCGCCTTAGAAGCCCGACAAAGCAACCCGAATCCAGACCCTTCAAGCCCACAGCGCCACAAACCCTATATCCCATAAGCCATAACCCTAAACCCTAAACCCTAAACCCTAAACCCTAAACCCTAAACCCTAAACCCTAAACCCTAAACCCTACACCCTACACCCTACAGCCCAAAACCCAGAAAACCCAACACCCTAGAAGCCCTATCCCTAAGACCCTAGAAGCCCTAAACACGAAAACTTGAAAACCTAAAGCCCCTAAACCTTGTAGGCCCTAAAACCTTGAGTCCTAAAGCCCTAGCCCCTCAAACCTCTAGCTCCAAAATCTAAAACTCTCGAACTCGAAGCCCTAAACCCACGAGTCGACCCTAAACCCTATGAATAAACCCTAAGTCCTTAACCGTAAACCCTAAGTCCTAAACCCTAAACCCTAAACCCTAAACCCTAAACCCTAAGCCCTAAGCCCTAAACCCTAAGCCCTAAACCCTAAACCCTAAGCCCTAAACCCTAAACCCTAAACCGAGGCAGCATGATTGTGATGCTCTGCGCTTCGTGCACCTTAGGGCTCTCTGGTTGGAGCTTCTTGGGCTGTTGTTTGGGGGGTAGGGTTTAGGGCTTGGGTTTAGGGTTTAGGGTTTAGGGTTTAGGGTTTAGGGTTTAGGGTTTAGGGTTTAGGGTTTAGGGTTTAGGGTTTAGGGTTTAGGGTTTAGGGTTTAGGGTTAGGGTGAAGGGGTTTGGGGACTTGCTTGGAGCGTCTTTTTCCGGGCCAGCTGGTCAAATAGAAATTTCGGCTTCAGGCCTTTATGGCTCAACAGATTCTGAATTTCGGGTGCAGGGGTTTAGGAACCCTAAACCCTACACCCAAAACCCTAAACCCTAAACCCTAACCCCCCTAAAAAACCCTAAACTCTTCGGGCTTTAGGGCTACTGAGCATTGTGTTTGGGGATTCGAGCTTCAGGGTTTAGGGTTGCGGGATTTAGGGTGCTAGGCTGACAGGGTTTAGGGTTTAGGGTTTAGGGTTTAGGGGTCAGGGTTAGAGGGTTTGGGTTTTCGGGTTTAAGGTTGGGTTCAGAGCCTCAGGGCTTCAGCTGGATGCGAGAGGGGTGTTGAGTCATTGAAGCTTCCAGGGCTCAAGGCTGTCAGCTTGTTTGGTAAACACGAAGCTACGAATATGGGTCTAGGGTTCAGGGTTTGGGGGCTTAACTGGTGACCCAACCCCAATGATGGGGTCCTTTCGAAGGGGTGCGCCGATCCTGGGACTTTCTTTACCTACAGGTTACTGGGTCATGCCTACGAATTAGGGTTTAGGGCTTAGGATTTAGGGACCCAGGTTCCGGTTGGGTCAGGATCAGATGTGTTTAGGGTTCAGTGTTGAGGGCAGTGGTTTGGGGTTTTGGGCCTCGCAAGGTTTTCTGCACAGGCTTCCGCCATCACTTACATGGTTTAGGGTTCGTGATTACCCGAAGCCCTAAACCCTAAACCCTAAAACCCATCCCGAAACCCTAATCCCAAATGTCAGTCTTCAGCTCTTTGCCGATTTGCGTCTCCGAACCCCAGGCCTTGGGACATAGAGAGCCGGCCCTTATTTCCCATTTTTAGTTGCTGGTTCCCTTCGAAGCCCATGTTAGTCGAAAGTGCGCCCTTTGTAATTCCTGTTTAGGGTTTAGGGCTTTTTTGACCTCGGAAATCCCAAAACCGGAAGAACGCTGCCGTCAAGGCGCTCTGTCCCTGTTTGCCACCGTATCGATAGCGGCTGCCTTCGTGCTGCCTCTGCGTTTTCTCTCTGAGCCTCCTGGATGCAGCCTAGAGAATTAGGGAATTGGCTATCATGGATCCCCCTAAACCCTAAACCCTAAACCCTAAACCCTAAACCCTGAACCCTGAACCCTGAACCCTGAACCCTGAACCTTTAGAACTTCAGGGATTGCCAAGGGGCCTATTTCCCTTTGGCTGCAAACTCTGAAAAGGAAGCCAAGTCGAGGGAGCGACGCCCTTGTGTACAATAGAGTGTAGGGTTCAGGGTTTAGGGTTTAGGGTTTAGGGTTTAGGGTTTAGGGTTTAGGGTTTAGGGTTTAGGGTTTAGGGTTTAGGGTTTAGGCGTTGCCACCTGTACCACCGAAGGTCCCCGCGCTGTGATTGGGAGAGCGTGTCCGACTTTGACGATGGGATCCGCGATGGGCCGCAGGAGCTGTCGGAACTTCGGCTCTTGATATGAGGGTTGGGATGCTCCCTCCTATACTAACAGCTCCTGAATAGGGAATATAGTATCCCCCAAATTCAGATTGCGAGCCAGGGGCGGGTCAGAGGAGCTTCGTTTTTGAAGCGCGAAGCTCGCGAAGCTTGCAAGCTTCAGACGTCAAGCTTCAGGCGAAGCGCGCAGCGCGCGAAACTTCTAAGCTTCAGGTTTCCAAAGCTCCCGAGCTTCAGACTTCAAGCTTCAGGCGAAGCGCGAAGCTCGCGAAGCTTCAGACTTCAGGCGAAGCGCGAAGCTCGCGAAGCTCCCGAGCTTCAGACGTCAAGCTTCAGGCGAAGCCCGCGAAGTTCAGACTTCAGGCTTCAGGCGAAGCGCGAAGCTCGCGAAGCTCGCGAAGCTCCCGAGCTTCAGACTTCAAGCTTCGATCAGGCGAAGCGCGAAGCTCGTGAAGCTTCAGACTTCAGGCGATAACCTGTTAGCAGCCAGAAATGTTGTAATCGAACAGCCGGAAATGGTGTAATCTGCAGCGATCCCATAAATGATGCAGTTTACATCAGTTAGAGCCCGCAAACACCCAAAAATGTCAACATATGTGGAGCTTGCAAACAGTCAGGAATGCTGCAAGTTCAGCGATTGTAGCCAGGGAAGGGTCGCCACTGTTAGGAAAGACAACGGACGGGCACCAATGTTAGGAAAGAACCCGCCTCCCTCTTCACATCTGAGGCGGAGGTGCGCAACGCAATCGTGCGCTACTGTCAGGAGCATCCGTGGCGACTGGCCAAGAACCCGTTCCCTTTGGTTTAGGGGCTTGGGCATGTAGGCAATGGGGCTTACAAGTCCATTGGACCTTTCATGGTTTTGGCGATGTAGGGAAAAAGGGCTGACGGCCTCGGGTCTTTGGCTAACAAACCCCTACCCGACCTTATACCCAAAACCCTAAACCCTAAGCCCCAAACCCTAAACCCTAAACCCTCAAGACGACATGAATAGAAATTGTGTGTGGTATCAACTTGAATTTCCCAAGTTGTTTGTCTCTGACACGCAGAGTTCAAGTAAATTCATCAACAGCGCCTGGCGGTATCATTCGGAAGTTTCCGAGTTACTTGTCAGAAAGAGGAACCAGGCCCCCAGCCCCAGCAGCCCCAGCAGCCCCAGCCAGAGCAGCCCCTCAGAGCGCCAGCCAGCCCACCCCCCGCCCCAGCCCCAGCCTCAAATTGAAATGAAATGAATTTCGAAAACAGAAACCCGGTCAAAACTTTCGCTCACAACTTTCGCTCAAAACTTTCGTTCAAAACGTTAATGGGACCCAAACCCTATACAATTTCTATGAACCCTAAACCCTAAACCCTAAACCCTCAACCCTGTAGGGTGAGGGGTTCAAGGGTGTGTGTAACCCAAGGTCCCCAAAACTCCCCAGGGTTCCTTGCATACCTGCCCCCCATGCATCCCCTCCCTTAAGGACCCTAGATCGACCTAAAGCCGGACCCCGCCGCCATATTCCTCCCAATATTCCCTATCTTCCCCAAACCCTAAACCCTAAACCCTAAACCCTAAACCCTAAACCCGAAGCCCTAAACCCTAAGCCCGAAACCCTGAGCCCTAAGCCCCCAACCCGCAACCCTCAACCCTCAACCCTCAACCCTAAACCCTGGATGTTGCCTAGGCCAGCGGTCGGTGTTGCAGGCCCGCCTGGGTCTAACAATTCCGGAAGATGCGGCACGTGCGCCCGGATTCGGCTTTGGACCGGAAGTTCCCCAAACAGTGCGTGAACACTAGGGTTTAGGGTTTAGGTTTGTTTAGGGTTTAGGGTTGAGGGTGTGGGTTTAGGGTTTAGGGTTTAAAAGTTTAGGGCCGCCTGAAAGTGTAATCTGTATTTCGCCGTGGAAGCTGGCGAGGAAGGAGAGGGCAGGCTTTGCTTAGTTTCTGTGCATGTATAAATCCGGTTCTTCGTGATGGGTGGTAAGGACTTCGGTTCTTGGTCACTGGGAATGGGGAATGGCCCTTAACCCTAAACCCTGAACCCTAAACCCTAAACCCTAATATGCAGATCGGAAGTGGCCCCATTCATTCTGAATTCTGATTTGGGGGGGGTGTGCCCCTATGCCCTAAACTCGGAATCCTATACGGAGGCCCTAAAATCTCCTGACCCAAATCTTCTCGTATACCCGAAGCTCGACATACAAAGCAAGACCCTACACTTTTGAACTTACTTGTTCTGATCGAGAATCGAATCGGGGAATCGGGTAGCTAGGTACCCTAAGCCCTAAACCCCAAGGGCTGTAGGGTTGCATAGGGCATAGGGTGACAGCTCCCGAATTTCTTAGCTCCCTATTAATTTCCCAGACCAGAAACTCCCCCAAATCTGTCGCCCAACAGAATCTTGGGCAAGCCCTATGCCCTACACCCTAAACAGTAAACCCTAAGCCCTAAACTCCAAACCCTAAACCGTGCTCTCGAGGCACGCCTGTTGCCCCGCGTGAATCTCCACAGTGATCGCACACCTCGAGCCTTCGAGCAAGGCATCCATCTACAAGTGGCGCAGCAGCTCATTCAGGGTTTAGGGTTCAGGGTGGCACGGAGGAGGTTGGGTAGTGTTTTTGTTGGTGGTTTGTTGTTTTGTCTTTCGAAGTTCGGGGAGGATACCAGGGCTCTTCAAACCCCCCGAACCGCTAGGGTTTAGGGTGTAAGGTTTTTAGGGTTTGGGCATTTAAGGTTGATCTTGGGTTGAGGCAATTGTGGGGCAGGGAATTCAACCTGGACACGCCCGCGCAGACAGCTTTTCCCTAGAACCCTACACCTTGAACCCCGCATTCCTGACGCTAAGCCCTAGGGTTTAGGGTTTAGGGTTGAGCCCTAGCCCTAAAGTCCGAACCTGGTGCCTAAACCCCAACCGACCAACCCCAAAGTCCCTTCGGAATGCGAAGGTGGCGATCTGTGCAGATGCAACCTTATACTGATTGAAGGCTCCCGCGTGCTGTGGGCCACACGCTGTCTCTTGGGCCTGGGATGTTGAGGGCAAGTTTGAGGTAAAGTAAGACCCGAGGGTTTCAGCTTGCAGGGCACGTGGAATTCCATGCACCCTTCAGACAACCAGTGTCTTGACCCAGGTTGGAGGACCAAGGAACTTAGCAAATAGGTTCATTGGGTATCCTACGGAGTATCCCTACATGGCAGTTACTTGCTAAGAACCTCGGATCCTCCAAGAGGTCAAGCCTTGGAATAGTTCCTAGAATGGTCGGTGGCTTGGTGCCAGCGGGGAGCAGGCAGCCTTGTGGAGGACGAGAGTACAGTTAACATTTGACAGCTTATGACCTATCAAATGATCCGTCACTTCTGTTATGGTTGGGTATCTACGCAAGCTTCATCCTTCAACACAGAACTCGTAATTGAGGTGCTGGCGAGACTCTTCTTAACTTGCTTGAGATCCTTGCTCCCAAGCCGCTCGAGCATTCATGCCGAACCCGAGCCTCGCAGTCAAAGGCTGGAGGCAAAGTACGATTTCAGGCTATCACAACGACAAGCACGGCCGAAAGACACTAACCCTAAACCCTAAACCCTAAACCCTAAACCCTAAACCCTAAACCCTAAACCCTAAACCCTAAACCCTAAACCCTAAACCCCGGGCTGAACCAAAGTATGCTGTCTTTTTTTTGTGTGACAGCCTGCACCGCCTCCGGCATACCTGAAAAAGATTGCCTGATGGCAGCTGCACTCCCTAAGTCCTCAGTACGGGTGGCGCCGTATTCCGCGCTCAAGATATTGGGGTTTAGGGTTTAGGGTTTTAGGGTTTAGGGTTTAGGGTTTAGTTTTTTTTTTATATTTATTATGGGTCTTGTGGAGCTTCCTGCAGCGTCGTTGAAGTAGTGCATGTGCATGGTCTTTTATTGCAAGCAGGCTCACTGGCTTCCGCAAATGGAGCTTCCTGCAGCGTCGTTGAAGTAATGCATGTGCATGGACTCTTATTGCAAGCAGGCTCACGCTCAAAGCGTTGGCGTCCGCACGGCAGTGTACAGCCTCAGCGTGCCACTCCCATTATCTGCACAAGTGGAGGGCTCCAACTCCGGTCAGTTTTTCAGTTAAAGGTGAGTTGAGAATGTTCCTCATCATGCACCTTCTTCCAATGATCAGAGCACGACAAACAAATGGGCTGATGCATGCGCCATTCGCCTTCTGAACCTTCAGTCTCCAACGCTTCTAGGGACCCCAAAACCCCAAACCCCAAACCCTAAACCCTAAGCCCTACACCCTGCATCCTGCACCCCCTGGTATAATTTTTAGGGACCACAAGCAAATACTATTGCTACTTCTTCCGACCGCTATATTGCCCCAGACCTTGATGTGCGTAGTAAGTGTAAGAAATCTGCCCGCCTCTGCGCGTGGGTCGACCTGGTGTCAGTTTTTAAAGCTTGCTTGGTATGTTCACCTTATAGTAGCAGACCTAAATAGGGTTTATAGTAGCGGGTACTATAAAACCTATTAAGGGCTGTTAGTGTGTATGTATATATAGTAACAGTCCTCAATAGGGTTGACAATGGGGGTACTATAAAGCCTATTCAGGACTGTTGGTATAAGGGGGAACATCCCAAAGCTTGCCCAACAACAAGCCATGAACCGCTCGAAGCTTAAGCGTGGTCTGGGGGCTCCTTAAACCTTAAACCCGTAAATCCCATAAAGCTTATACAAACCCTGTATTCCCTATGTATCCCGATAAGCACCATATCAACCCTATAGTCCGAGCCAACGGGTTCTCAGCAGCCGTGGCGAGATCATCCACCCTGAGCCCTTGATTCACGCTGCCCGGCCTATCCCAGTCCCTGAAACCACCAAACCCTGAACGGCGCTGCCGCGCAAACACCGCCGCTGCTACAACCTCCCCAAAGGCCATAGCCCCAAAATCCATAGTTCAAGCCGAGACTTAACCCCAACACAAGAGTATAGGGGTCGGAACAATTGCTAATAGTCTTCCCCTATGGTCCCTTTAAATATTTCCTAGAATGACCCCCCAAAAACCCTGTTCTAGTTCTTGAGGCCCCTATATTACCCCTAAACCCTGCCCTAAACCCTAAACCCTACCCTAAAGCCTAAACCCTGAGCCCTAAACCCTAAACCCTAAACCCTAAACCCTAAACCCTACCCTAAAGCCTAAACCCTGAGCCCTAAACCCTAAACCCTAAACCCTAAACGCTAAACCCCGAGTCATCCTCCATTCCCGCAGGTAGCGGAGGTGAAGCGGGCCGTCTTCCGTGCGCTCACCAGACTTCGTGCTGCCACCATCAAGGCCTGGCCTCTCTGGGTTTTACGGGCGATTAGGGTTTGGGGTTTAGGGTTTAAGGTTTAGGGTCTGGGCTTGCGTAGGGGTTGTCTGTTCAAATCAAATTCCGGTTCAGCTCGTAAGATAAGTTCCTTTGAATTTGCGAGCCCTCGGAATGCAAAGGGTTTGGGCACGTATGACAATACATAACGCTACAAATGATATGAAGCAAGGTTTTTATTACTGTTATTGGTGGTTCCTTTTTAGTATGGGTGAGTGTATGTATTGGGTGTCCTTTTGGGGATACAAGGAATATAAAGCCGGTATGGAAGTCAAGCGAGACAGCCAAGTTGTTTACCTTGGCATCCCTCTGCCCCTCAAAGGCCTGGTGCGCTTCGATTTCTTTGAGACTATCATTCAAAAATGCATCATTGTTCTTGACAAAATGATCAATGCCAAAGTGCAGCAGCATCTTGCCGCAGAAGTTATTGCCAGAAAGGTCATGCCTGCGCTCTGCTATGCCACTTCGGTAGCTCGTCCTACGCGTGATCAAGTTCAACGATTGGGTACTAAGATCTTCGCGGCGGCCGCTTTGAGACAATGCCAGACTCAAGATGCACATTCTCTCTTTGCAGAAAAGACACACGCATTTGATCCGGATTGTGCCATGGTTTATCACAATTTGTGTTTTTGGAACAGGCTACTGTGGGCTCAGCCGCGTATCATCAGTGAATTGCTTCAGATTTTGGACCGTTGTCTGCCGGTTTACAAAAATCTACTTGGACCAGTTACTTTACTGCAGCATGATATCCAAGAGCTTGATTGTCAATTGCAATTGCCTGACCTCATTCTCAAGACTAAGGATGGACAACAGATTTCTCTACAGGACACTGACAAACAAAGTTTTCTCATTTTACGCGTGATCTCGTCCGAAAAGCGCTCGCGCGAAAACTTCTTGCTAAACATGAAAAATGGACTGGTGTACTGTGCTGTGATATCAACATCACTACCAAACTTCTGCGCCAGATGAAACCTGATAACCCCTATAGGAATGCTCTTGTGCGCCTGTTGACTGATGCGCACAATACCCCCCTATCGAGTTTATCAAATGCACAAGTCACACTCACCGCATTGCTATCATTGCCTACCGCTTGATGCAGACACTGTCGCTGATTGGGTTCAACGCTTTGATGAAACCATTGACTCTATCTCCTCTGTCCTTGCAATTCACGTCCTCGACCACTGATGTTGTGTGCTTGCTAACCGTGCTTAGTACAAACCTAAGCTGTCTCACCTTGATATGATTCACGACCTCGAGTCCGCAGTACAAGAAATATAAAGCCTACTTCATACATTTTCTACGAATTCTTAAGACAAGAGCCATCAACAAGCCCAAAGTTCGATTGTTTAGAGGTTCATGCAACATTTGTGGGATTCTGGGAGTCATGAGTTTCTTTAGTTAGGGGCTGGGGACATGAGAACTTTCTCACGGGGAGATTTTCCCTGTCAGAAGGCACTCCGCAAATGTGCTGGGACATGTATTTCCCTAAGCCCTAAACCCTAAACCCTAAGCCCTAAACCCTAAACCCGAAACCGTAAAAAGACATGCAAGTCCTTAAAGCATGCGCGTATGTTCTGTTTCGAGGCTGTGAAACGTGCCAGTATTGAACTTCAAAACCTGATGGTTTGAAGAAACCAAGTTTTGCATGAACCCCCAGGCAGGGCCCATGTGACCCTGAACCCGCAAACTCCTACGTCCTAGGCCCCCTAAACCCTAAACCCTAAATCTTAAACCCTAAATCCCTAAACCTTTTTGGAGGAGTTTGACACGATCGCGCGCTTGGAGACCCAATCCATTGACGCGTACAACGATGCTCACCACTACCGTTGCCAGCCTGGAGAGCTCCACAATCGTTTCCGCCAGGGTTTAGGGTTTAGGGTTTCGGGTTTGGGGTTTAGGGTTTCGGGTTTAGGTGTTGGGGCTCATTGAGTGGGGGGTTTAGGGTCTGGGGTGTTGGGGCTTATTGAGTTTAGGGTTAGGTGAGAATGCGCAGGGCTTTTGGCTGCAAGGATATAGGGCCTGTAGCGTCGTAGGTTTTGGATGGTGCTAAAGGAAAGCCTTTACTTTCAAGAGCTGAGCAGACAATATGCAATGGACAAAGGCACATGTCCCTTCTAGGGCAGGATAGATGGTGGGTTCTACGTCCAAGAATGATGCCTACATAAAACTTTCCCCAAGCCC